GCTGGAAAGAGGGGAGCAGGTGCTACAGTGGTCTTCCGAAGTTGCATCCCCTTACCTACCTCATATCCAGCTACATTGAACTGTAATTATTTCCTTGTCTGGCTCTGACCTCACTGAGCACCACAGCATGTACAATAAAGAATATTCAGGTTCCTGGGTCTATCTGGGGTCTTGGGGGTGGGGGGACTCTGTAGGTCTGGATTGGAGCCTTGGCCTCCATATTCCATGTTCTGGGGTTTCTGATACATGTGGTTGAAAAAGCAGGTAACTAATATCCCTGCCCCAATCCAGACCTATCATGTACTTGATAAATGACCCAGAACAAGTTCCTTACACATAGTCTAGACTAAATACCCAATAAATGCCATGGTACTTGTGAGGCAGAATGAGAATAAACCAAAGAGGACGCTAGCTTAGATGGCTTAGCCTGGCAGCCTGTGGGGGCCAGGACTGTAACGTAGTGTAGGTAGGTTAAGGATATGCTGGTGACTCAGAATCCAGCTGTGGACCAGGAAGCCCCCTGCCCCCAGCTGTGCTGAGCTTCCCCTCATCTCCCCGCCCAGCCTGAGCTTGTCTGGGCCAGCTGGCCTCACTTCCTTGTCACCTGCCCTAGCTCTCTCAGGCAATGTCATTATTAGCCTCTGGAAGAAAGAGGTGTGAGGTATGAGCTTCCTAGAATAGTTCTCGAAGATGGGGCAGCCGTGGAAGATCAGGCTGCCCTGCCCCTCCTCAAAGTTCCTGACACACAGGGAGAGAGTTTCTGAGGAAGTGACAAGATGGAGAATTTAAAAAGTGTGAGGGTTATTGGGGTGAGTTTCCAACAGAGAGAAGAGCATATATCACTGTCTTGTGGTGCAGCCTGGCTGTGTTAAAAGCGCCCCGGAAGCTCGGGGAGGTGAGTGGGGTTGGAGCACCGAGGCTGTGAAGGCACAGTGCTGAGGGCAGGGAAGCTCTGGAGGGTAAGTAGGTGAGGTCGGTGGGCAGGGTCTCACTCTGGAACCTTGACCAGCCTGGATCTCGCACAGATGTGCCTGCCTCTGTGTGAGGCTAACAGTGTGTGGCACCACACCTAGCACGCTTTTGCTGTTTTTTAATTAAATAAAATATTGATCTGGGTGGCATGCCCTAAAATTGTAGCACCTAAGAGGCAAAGGTAGGATGGAATTCAGCCCGTGTTACATAGTAAGTTCCAAGCAGACCTAAGCTATGAAGTGAGACTTTGTCTCAAAAAAAAGAAAGAAATTATGGGTCTGAGGGAGCATGGGTATAGCCACCCAGGAGAGGCAAGAGGATCACGGGGTCAGGGGAATCCCCAGGTCACTTAGTGAGGGCTTGGCTAGCCTGGGATACATGAGATCTGCCCCCAAAATAGAGGGACATAAACCAACTAAACTAAAAACCAAATTGTGCGAGTGTATGTGTGTGTGAGAGAAAGACAGACGGACAGACGGACTGACTGACTTTTATGCTAGGCCTAGTGGTATACACTTAAAATCCCTTCACTTGGAAAGCTGGAGGATCTAGTGTTCAAAGTCATTCATATATGTATTCATTTGTGGCATTCTTACAGGAAGTTCCGGAAATCAGATGGATGTAGGTCAGTGTGTTTCAGAAGTTAGACATCCTTGTGTAAGAATCCCCCAGATAAGAAACAGCTGATGGCCTGGCCGTCACCCTAGGTGACATCTAAAGCTATCCATCAGGAGTTGGGGGTTGCACCTGCTGTAAACAGAGCCCTGCAGTTTCTCCCGCTGCGCACTCGGCTCCGGGAGTCGGCCATGCTGTGGCCATAGGTGGCCTTGCTGTGTATGGCCGGTGGCGTGAGCTACTAGGTAGTCCCCATGTCACTCTTTTAAATAATCTGTTTAACTTTATTCTCTGCGCAGTGGTATGTAGGTGTAAGAATCCATGGAACTGCAGTTATAGATACTTGTGAGCTGCACGTGGGTGCCGGGAATTGAACTTGGGTCCTTTGGAAGGGCAGACGATGTTCTCGACCACCAAGCCATCTCTCTAGCTCCTCCTGTGTCACTCTTGGAGGATATTTGGGACAAGGGCATCCATCCCAGGTGTAGGCAAAGTGAATCCCCGGGGACATCTTTGGTGTACCTGAGTGTGTTGCTGAGGAGGTGGGCTCAGGAGACACTGCAGGGTCCCTGACATGGCAGAGGTGACACAGCTAGACAGCTGTGAGAGTGAAGGGCTCCCTCTCATCAGACCATTGGTATCTGAAATCCTTCCGACTAGCCCTTAAGAGGCTCCTCCTTAGTCCCTTGTGCCAGTCACGGCAGCCCTAGGAGACAGCACTTGTTTTGTTCATTCTCGTTTTATTTATGTGGTGTTTTGCATGTGTGTGTATGGCCCATGTGCATGTAACACCCGTGGAGACCAGTAGAGGACATCAGATTCCCCAGGGACGATAGTTGCATGTCCTTGTCAGCTGCCATGTAGACGCTAGGAATCCAACCCCAGTCCTCTGGAAAAGCAGCCAGTGCTCTCAACCTCTGAACCATTGCTCCGCTGTTTGTTTGTTTGTTTGTTTGCTTGTTGACAGGGTATCATGTAGCCCAGGCTAGTCTTGAGACAGTTTCCTGGGCTAGTCTTGGGCCAGGCTAGTCTTGAGCCATCTCAGGAACAAGATCTACTTTACTGGCAGGATCAAACTGTGTTCATGTTCCCAGGCCCGGAACACAACTCCTCTTCTGCCTCTTTCAGATGTTTTATGTTTGTCAGTAACCAGTAAAGGATGTGAAGAGGGAAATTGCTGTTATCCTGTTATCTAAATGAAGGCACACAAGTCAGAACCGTGTTGCCTGCCCTGACTTAATTGACTACTTGCAGCAATTCCGGGTCATGACTCGGTTTACTATGTGCAGCTTGTCTATTCCTTCATTCCCTCATCGTTCTAAATTCCGGCTCTCATGATTCAGTTGACCACGTGCAATGGCCCACCCCCATCTCCCTTGATTTGTGTTCCCAACCTTTAAAAATGTTGTACAATCTCCCTTCGGGGATGTGGTTTAGGTCTCGAACTGGCAGCCTCCCTGCAAGAGCAAAAAATAAAGCTTCCATTTAAAGCTTCTGTCTCTGAAGTGAGTTTTCTCTGCTTCCAGCCCCAACCCAATAGAACTAGCCTTGGAGTACTGCTCCTCCTTCCCCAGTCTGGGATTCCATGGTCACCGTGCCTGGCTTGCAAGGCAGGGCTTCATGTGTCCAGTTCATGGATGAAAACAGAAAGGCCAGGTGTCTCCAGCTGTCTGCACAGGCACCCAGCCAGTATGTGGCACAGCACGGACTTTTAGAGCCAGAGTTCTGGCTGCTTGCCCCAGAGCCCTTTACAGGCCCAAGACCCAGGCTTCCCTATAGGGTTTCAGGACAGGAGCCAGTCATCTCTAACGCCTCCTTTGGCAGGCAGTAGCAGGGGTTGACACTGAAATTAGAGACATGGAGTTTGATTCTGAGCATGCACCCCAACACACTGCACAAAGCCACCGCTGAAGAAACATACTGTCCCTGGCCTGACCTCCTGCGGGGGGGGGGAAGGGGAGAGGCTCTGGGTTAAATATCATTTATTTATTAGTAAATGCCTGAGCCCTGCAACAGTGACAGGACATTAACCAAACCCCAGGATGAAGAGAGAATGCAATCAGCCTGAGTACTTCCCTGGCTCTCAAGGAATGTCTATTCCCTGTTGGTTGTGGAACTACAAGGTACCAAAGATGACAGTTTGTAGTGGTGCATGGGAGGCAAGGGGATTGAGTTCAAGGCCAGTTTGCAGCACATAGCCTGAGCCTGACTCAAAAACCCAAAACCAGGGCCAGGAGAGATGGCTCCGTGGTTAAGGCTATGTCCTGCTCTTCTAGAGGCCCCAAGTTTGATTTCCACACCCTGTAATTCCAACTCCAGGGGGATCTGACTCCTCTGGCTTCTGTGGGCACCTGCACTCACATGCTTATACCAACACACACCCACACACATGTTGACAGTTAGTTTATATCAACTTGACACAAGCTAAAGTCATCTGAGAGGAGGGAAATTAGTTATGAAAATGCTTCCATAAAACTGGGCTGTCAGCAAGCCTGTAGGGCATTTTCTCAACAGTGATTGATGGAGGAGGGCCCAGGCCCAGCCCATTGTGGGTGATGTCATTTTTGGGCTGCTGGTCCTGGGTTCTATAAAAAAGCAGGCTGAGCAAGTCATGGGAAATAAGCCAGTAAGCAGCACCCATGGCCTCTGCATCAGCTCCCGCCTCCAGGTTCCTGCCCTGCTTGCGTTCCTGTCCTGACTTCCTTCAATGATAAACAGTGATGTGGAAGTGTGAGCCAAATAAGCCCTTTCTTGCCCATGCTTTGGTCATGGTGTCTCATCACAGCAATAAAAACCCTAAGACAAACACACACACACTTTTTTTAAAAAATTAAAAAGACAACAAAACCCAAGGATGTGGGTGTAGTCCGCCTGGCAGAGTACATGTATGCATGAGGCCTAGATTGGATCCAGCTGCAAAATGAGTCACTCTCAAAACTACTTTTTCTGCAGCTCTTGGAAGGCAGAGGCAGGAGGATCTTTGTAAGTTTGAGGCCAGTCCGTTACAGGTTGGCCTGGTGTTCAGTGTATACAAACACTGAATTCTGGGCCCTGACATCTGGCTGCAGCCCAGATGAGCACATTGTCACATACCCTGATCAGTGTTGTGTAAACTTTGCTCCCCAATCATCTCTGATTGGTTAACAAAAAACAAAAACCTGGGCAGCGTGTCGCTGGGCAGAAGAGAGGTAGGCAGAACTTCCATTCCTAGGCTAGGGGTCTCAGGTAGGGACCACGAGGGGCAGGGAAGACAAGAAGATGAGGGAAAGGACATCACCATGAGGAATTAACCTGTTGAACCCGAAACAGCCCAGACAGGACCAATATGGCAAGTAACTTGGGGCATGTGGCTGAGAAGTAGCCAGACCAGCTTAAAGGATTAGTATGAAAAGAGATCTGCCCAGTTATTGTGCTTAAAGCTTATTAATAAATTTATTAAGTCTTTGTGTCACTTATTTGGGAGCTAGAGCTAGTGATTAGAAGGGAAAATATATATATATAAGTTATCTATTACACCACCCTGTTCTACAGAGTAAGTTCCAGGACAGCCACAGCTACACAGAGAAACCCTGTCTCAAAACAACAACAAAACCCAACAACAAAAAACATTTCTACCAGCATGAGCACCAACTCAAAGACCACATATGACATGATCCAATTTGTGGAAAAGGTCCAGAAAAAGCAAGGGGAGAGAGCTGGTGGCAGCCTTGGAAAGCATGAGAGGCTGATAGAAATGTTCTACAAGTATACTGTGGTAGCTGGTATGTTCCTCTGTATCCTTGCTGGAACCCTTAAAATAATGCATTTGGGGGGTCCACAGCACACCCCAACAAAGCTCCTTAAACAAACTGCTTGCCTTGTTTAAAGCCCACTTGTTTCCCAGCACTGGAGTGACATCTGTCACGTTGGTGACGGGGTCTCAAGGAGCCCCCTACCGCTTATTCGTTTGAGACAATGCCTCGTGTCCCAGCTTGCCTCAAACTTGCTTTGGAGCTGGGGACCATCTTGTCCTTGTGAACCTATTTCCCCCGCCACAGAGCTGGCCTCGCAGGTGTGCACCACCATACCTAGATTCCGGGTTACACCAGAGTCCCCCAGGGCTTCCGGCATGCCAGCAGGTACTCTACCCAGGAACCACATCCCCTGCCCTGTTAGTTTCACCTTTGAGAGTGTCTCGTGTAACCAGACTAGCCTAGCATTATGTAGTAGCCAGAGATGGCCTTGGACTGCCTCATCTGCACCTCCTTAGTGCTAGGATAGGTGTGTACTTCACCTCTCCCTTTGTATTCTTAAGACAGGGTCTTATTGGAGGTCATTTTGCACACTGTGTATTCAAATGCTGATTTCTGCATCTAGAGATCTGGTTGCAGCCTGGACATCAGCATTGTCATTATTATTGAAGCACTTGTATACACTGTAAAAAATGTCCTCTATTCCTCTAATTGGTTAATAAAGAGCTGAACAACCTATCGTGGGGAAGGACAGTTAGGCTGTGACTTCTGATCCCAGGAAAGAGGTCCTAGGGGAGAGAGAAGCAGAGCCTCTAGGAGAGAGGGTCACCATAAGGACAAAGATGGAGCAGGAGCAGCCAGGGTGAGATTAAGAATTCAGGTAGCAGGGCACATGGCTGGGAATTAGGCCAGGTCAGCAGAGCTGAGTTAGAATAGATGAGTATCTGCCCAGCTATAGTGCTTGAAGCTTATTAATAATTTGTTATTTTATTTGAGACAGGGTTTCTTTGTGTATCCCTGGCTGTCCTGTACTCTTTGTAGACCAGGCTGGCCTCTAACTCACAAAGATCTGCATGCCTGAGCCTCCTAGAGTGCTGGGATTACAGGTGTGCACCACCATGCCCAACTTGCTTATTAATAAATTTAATAGGTATCTGTCATTACTTGGGAGGTAGAGCAGATCTCTTCAAGTTCAGGCTAGCCTTACGTTTTGTGTAGCTAGAGATGGCTTTGATCTGATCTTCATGCCTCATCTCCTCCCTTCCCCAAGCACTCGAGATGCAGAGCCAAGCATATCTCTGTAGATATGTAGACCAGCCTGGTCTACATACCAAGGTCCAGAACATCCAGGGCTACATGCCGTCTCAAAAAGAAAAAATATTCTGTGTGTCTGTATATATGCACACTATACAGAGGTCGATATTGAATGTTTTTCTTAATCAGCTCTCTACTTCATGTTTAAGGCAGGATCTCTCAGTGAACCCAGATATATGATTCAGCTAAACTGGCTGGCCTTCATGTCCACGAGGAGCAAGCCAGTAAGCAGCACCCCTCCATGGCTTCATCATCAGCTCCTGCCCTCACTGCTTTTGATGATGAGCTGTTTGTTATATGGACTGTGAGGGAAATAAACCCTTTCCTCCCCAAGTTGCTTCTGGTCGTGGTGCTTCATCACAGCAGTAGTAACTTATGCAAGACAGATGCCCATGAAGACCTGATGGGCTGTCATCACCTGGCTCTCCCTTCTCAACCCTGGCTGGGTGCAATGCCCATGATTTACAGATGTGGAAACTGAGGACCAGAGGGGCAGGCCACCCACTTCACATCTGCATCTTGTCATCCCTAGGGACCTGTCAGGCCGCTCCTGCCTCTGCTCCTCCTGGAACCTCCCCCTGCTGCATCAGCGGGCAGGTCTCCAGCGCTGCAGCACACTGCTCCTGCCTCGCCACGGCTCCCACCCCTACGCCCAGCAAGACACAGAGAGGAGTCCATTTCGATCCTTTATCTGACTCACAGTCACTGCACACACCCTACCACTGGGATTTGTGACATCGAGTGCTAGAGGCCAGTGCATGGACACATGACAAGGACAAGATGGAAATGCCACTGCTGTGTGATTAAGGGAAAGTCAGAGTGGGCCTTGGCCCAGGGATACATTCACAGCTCAGGGTTAAGTGCAAATGAATGGAATGTCAAGACTGAGTGCGTGAGGGCTGCTCCCTTCTGAGCACAGGCCTCAGAGAGGATGACCTGGAGCCAGAGACACCCTCTCCTCACTGCATCCTCATGACCCTGGGGAGCCCTTTCCCCTTCCAGAGAGAGGCACTTGATCCTAGGAGCCAGTGCTCAACTCCAGACCAGAACAGCACTCTTCTCCTGCAGGTCTCACAACCTGGAAGAAGGGGGTGGGGGGAAGACAGCCAAATAAAGTGTTAAGGCAATAAATAAAAACTTCCCAGCTCAGGCAAAAGGAGAGGGCTGCCAGGACCCCTGTGGCAGCTGTGACAGATGCTAGCAGGACTGTCGGCAGGACCCTGGGCGGCAGCAGCCCTGAGGTGGGCTCTGTGCCACCGTGCGGCCCAGGGTACGTGTGCACAGAGTTGAAGGCAAAGTGCTGAGTCCAGCTTCTTGTCAGAAGCGAGGAGGGGCTGGCCTGCTGTGCGTCCTCTGTCATCCTCTGCCATGAGTTCTAGATCCTCACTTCTGGAGCAGCAGATGGCAACACAGGGGATAGGCCTTTGTGAGCTCTGGTTAGGGCCCTCTGTTGGAGCCTAGCACTGCCCAGGGAGTGCCAGGCTCACAGGGGAATGGGAAGCAGCCAGTCCTACCTCTTCCATCTTTGGAGGCTGGCAGAGGATGGCAGGGCGTGGGACTGTGGGAGGCCGGTGTCCTGGGTTGGTGCCTGGGTTTGTGAAGGGATAGCCCTGGCTCACACGTGAGCACAGGTGGGGCAAGCCTATGTCTGGATGGCCCAGATGGGGATTTCTGTACTGGCCAGAGCCTGGGTGCTGGCAATGTGTAGCCAGAGGTAGCGCCTCTTCCAGGACCCTCTGACTGTCACCACATAGCTCTGCATGTCCTATCCTTCACCTATCACCTTCTTGCCCTCTGTCTGCAGCCCAGAGGGGTTGGGGTTCTGTGGTCCACACTCAGAGCAATTCTATAGCACACCTTCCTCTCTCACTGTCTCTCCTGGTCAGACCCTGCTGTCTCTGGCCTGCCTCTGTTGCCCAGGGAACCCTGAGGGCAGCTGGACAGGCTCCTAGTGGTTCCACTCCATGGAATTTGTCCTCTGGGTGTTGGGATTCCCAGAGGAGGGGGTGGAACAGGCCCAGGGACAATGGCCCTTGGCCACCCTGGCCCTTGGATGCCAACCCAAAGGAAGGGAGGGGCAGCCTTCTGTCTCCCATCACCCCTGTGACTGAGGCCCAGGCAGCCACCTTTCCCCTCCAGCCTGTCCCCATTATTGCGGCTCTTCCAGGGGCCCATTTTCTCGGGGCAGTGGCCCATTCAGCCCAGTGCTACTAGCTACTGGCGCGCCCAGGTAGCCCAGCAGAATCTCGCTGCGGCGCCGGGACAGCTGTAGGATGTCCTCCGCTAGGGCTGGCACCGACGTGTATCGCACGTTGTCCAGGTCAAACATGTCCCTCAGGTACTGCACAATCTGGTGCTGGGGGCGGGAGACTCGTGTTGGGCCTGGGTCCTGCAACATTTCCCACATCCTACAAAGTCCCTTTCTCAATGATCAGGCCCCAGCCCACTCCCATCCTCAGGAACCTGCCTGCTTCATCTAGAGCAGCCCAGGACCCCACCCCTCTTCTGGCACTGAGGGGGTATCTGTAACAGCAGGAAAGCAGGGCTTGTTGCCATGTACCTTGAAGAAAGCACAGACTTCCGCCAGCTGCGGCTTGGGTCCGAGGAAGCCAAAGGCCAGCACAGGGCTGACATGCTCCGATACGGAGTAGAAATGGGAGATGAAGCCATCGGGCACCTGTGGTAAGGAGCAGGGCTAAGGACCAGGCTGCAGTTGGGGACCAGGGGTCATCTAAAGGCCATCTAAAGGCCCACTATGTCCTGGCTGGGTGACCCTAGGCAAGTGATAGGCTCTGCAGAAAAGGCTAACAGACTCCTCTGAGAGCCGCCCACGTGGGCTGAGCACTGGTCCCAGCAACTGGTACTGACTGGGCAGTAGAGCCTGGTGGCCATGGGAAGTAATGGATCTCAGCTACTCGACCCTCAGTGCAGAGAGCAGCGGCCTCCTGGGACAGAGAAACGCTGTGCTCCCCGACTCCTGTGGCCACTGGCCACTCCCATACACTAGCACTCCTGCCTTCCCAGGATTCACTTCTCCTCTGCTGAGTCCCAGGACACTGATGGATGCTCCCCAGGAAGGAAACGGGGTGGAGCACCTGGCCAAGTGGTATACAGTGGCAAGGTGGGTGGTCGGTGTGGGGTTCTGGGATGCTTTGCTCCACCTATCCCTTCCCCATTCAGTCCAAGTGGTCAGAGGAGTTCTGGCCACTCAGGACCCAGCTCAGCCCCAAGGGGCCTCACCAATCACTCACTCACCATCAAGAGCCTCCTCTTGGCTTTCAGGACAGACCAGCATGCCGTGGCTAGGGCCTAAAACACAGGTGAGACCCACTGGAGAATTAAGAGTCTAAGCATGACCCCAGTGCTGGCCCAGGAGGAGCTCTTCGCACAGCTCACCCACCCGTGCCTGAGCTTTGCTTTTGCTTCTTTACCTTAAAGTTGGCAACAGATGCCTAGTTCTTTTCTTTTGCTTTTCAAGACAGGGTTTCTCTATGTAACAGCCCTGGCTGTCCTGGAACTCGCTCTGTAGGCCAGGCTGGTCCTGAACTCACAGAGATCCACCTACCTCTGCCTCCTGAGCGCAGGGATTAAAGGTGTGCACCACACTGCCCGGCCAGATGCCCAATTTTTTACTTAATGTGTGTGGCCTGCATGAGTCTGTGCACTGCACGTGTACCCGGGGACAGCGAATCCCCTGGGCTTGCAGGTGCTTGGGAGGCACATGTAAGCATTAGGAAGCAAACCTGGGTCCTCTTCAGGAGCAGCAAGCGCTCTTATGCACTGGGCATCTCTCACCATACACACCTAGTTTTGAATCTAAGCTCTAACCCTTTTGTTTCAGAACTCCATTTAGATACTGAGGCTTCCCAAGCCTGTTTCCTCCTCTGTAAAATGGCTGTGACACAGCACCCCACCCACCTCACCGGGTGGCTGTGGGGAGCCACCATGAGCATCTATAAATGGCCTAGCTGAAGATCAGCCATGGCAGCAGCACCACGGTGTTACCAGTGGCCTTGGGGTTTTTTGCTTGTTTTGTTTTTTGGTGGCGATGTTGGGATGAGTTCGCCTCTACTGTAACTTAAGAGGATGCATTAAAATGAATGTAATTAGTGCCAGCCCAGAGTGAGGGTTCTGCATCCCCTTAGGTACAATACAGAGGGAAATGTGTACTCTGCCAGAACCAGGGCAGCAGGAAGCACCTGAGAGTCTGGAGAGAGCCTGGGCCTGACATCCCAAATCTCAGCGGGCAGGGACTGGCCCAGGAGTGGAAGGACTGATAAATGAACTCCAGGGACAAGAGGACTAGTGCCCAAGGTCATGTGACTGGCACATATGGGAGAGGGATGACCCACTGTTTCTTTGAAGCTGTCGGACAGCCAGCGGTTCCGCAGGACAGCAAGCACCGAAGATGGGGGGTTCTCCAGGTCCTCGAAGGCGTCCATGAGAATGAAGTCCAGCACAATGTCAAAGAAGCTCATGCATGCCACCTGTGGGGATGGGGGTGGCTGCACCTGAGCTGCCGTGCACACAGCCAAGGCCAGAGGGGGCCTGTGTGCAACACACGGGGAATTGGCTGGAACCCAGGCTCAGAGCAGCTGGCAGCCATCTCGGCTACTAGGAATGGACGCAGTGTTGAGCATAAGCTCCCAACAAAATGTCCTCAGTTCTGAAGAACCCCAGGAGCTCAATATGAGCGGACTCACCCCTCTGCCCTCCAGCTCTAGCCGGGTGGTAGCCCAGGTCTCAGGCCGCAGGGCGTAGCTCAGCATCTCCTCGTAGCTCTCCAGGAAGCCTTTGGGACTCTGTGAGAAGCACAGCCAGTTCTGGTTGTGGGAGAGCTGGTTGTGAGACCCAGCTGGATAAGAGTCACAGGCAGGCTGGGCTGTGGATAAAAATGTGCCAAGCAGGGCTGGGGCCTTACCCCAGAGAGGTTAGGAGGTATCTTTTGCCTGAACCTTCAGGAGAGCAAGGGTGTGTCTGGGGCAGCTTCGGCACAAGGGCACCCAGCCAGGTCTCGGTTTGGCTCATTACTAAACTCCTATAGCCTTCTGGGCCAGGCCCAGCCCTATTACATGACCTCTCTTCAGAGGTACCCAGAAGGTGTAGTTTTAAGGGTTGAGAAGGGAGGAGCCCGGCCCCAGGCACAGAAGCACTCTCTTACAGGGGGAGGGGACATGGCTCAGGCTTACCTAGCTTGGAGTGTGGCCGACACAGGACACATCGATGTATACTTAGAGTGAGACACAGGCTTGGCTGAAGACTGCATGGTTACAAAACAGCCCTGATGCTACAAATCCAGAGCCAGAGAGCTAATGTCTTCGAAGATCTATCCAGGGAGCCCAGATAGGGCTATATGAGTGCTCCTGTCATGGGGCTCAGCAGCTGCCCATGGGCCTTTTCTGCTTTGTAAGACAACAAAGCCTAAGACTGACTGGGGCAGAGGCAGAAGGAGCCTGCTCAGCACAGCCTGGCCTCAGGCTACGTCACTTATCTCTTGTATTCCGAAAGGCCAAGGAGAGCCAGCTAAGGGCATAGGGTGGACCTGGCCAACCTGACTGCAAAGCCTGGCTCTATATTCACTTGCTTAGTGGCCTAGGAAAGCTCCTCTCCCTCTCCAGACTGTTTCCTTATCTGCTCTGACAGCAAATGGAGACATGAAGCGGCAGCCTAGAGCTCACTGTGGACAGATGGCACCACTGGCAATCACCTGGCAAAGGTAAACGCAGTGCCTGTCAGGGCCTCAGGTGTTAGGGTTTACAATCCTCGCCATCATGGGCATCACTGCGTGGTGGAGAGGACAAAGGGCACCATAAGCAGTAGGGAGGGTGGTAAGGCCAGAGATTGGAACTCCCGGGGTTCATTTTCTTTGTCATTAAACACTAAACACACCTTCTCATATTCTCTTCTATGAAGATTGTCTAACTAAAAAGTAACTGAGGACAAATGTATTAGGCACAGAGGTACAGCACACACAAAGGTCCAAAGCAGGCAGATGGTCTCCTATGCATCCAAGACCCCAGTGCCCCAAGCTGCACAGGGCTAAGGATGAACAGCATAGCCACAGGTCAGCACTCAGATCATGACTGAGGGCAGCTGGGCTAGAGGGCTCAAGCAGTGCAGGACAAGGGCAGACGCAGGGCTTTTAGGTCATCCCTCCAGCAAGGGAGAGCAAGGAGGACCGAAGGGACAGCCTGCACAATGGCTTTGCTCTGGCAGAACCTCAGGAATGCTCCTGAGGCAGGAGCATTGGCATGAGTGTGAAGCCAGCCCGGCCTCAGAAATGCAAGAGGACCAGGGAGTGGTAGAGGCACTGCCATGTTCCCGACAACCCGAGCTCGGCCCCGAACCCAGACAGTAGGAGAGAACCAATGGCCACCAGCCGTCTTCCGACCCTCACCTGTAGACGGGGGTGGGGGGTGGGGGGTGGGGTGGTGTGTGTGTGTGTGTGTGTGTGTGTGTGTGTGTGTGTGTGTGTGTGCACCCCTCACCCATGCCCCATGCTCAGGCACACAAAATAAACGTTTTAGGTGTAATTAGCAAGTAAAGACACTGAGCAGGGCTGTGCATGCTTGTGATCCTATCACCTGGGAGGCAGCGCAGGATGAGTCAGGGTTATCCTCAGCCACATAGCCAGCCTGTGTCACAGAAGAACCTCTCAAGAGACTCGCTCCAATCCCTTAACAAAGGCGCAAGTGGGTGATAAATACAAGTAGAGGAATTTTAGTTCAAAACATGGCTGCTCTCATAAGAGATCACAACCAAAAACTTTCTAGGTCTGTGTGATCTGGCTGGAATCCAGGAAACAGGCCTTTAATCCAGGAGACAGAGGCAAGCAGATCTGAGTTCAAGGCCAGCCCTGGTATGGACTATGCAAGTTTCAGGTAAAAAAAAAAAAAAAAAAAAGGTTAGGAGCAGGCATGGTGGCACACGTCTTTAATCCAAACAATGAAGGTGAAGTTAGTTTAGAGAAGGAAGGCACCCATGTTTAAAAGTGTTGTCTCAATTGAGTGGCAGAAAAAGTAAAAAGATCGGACAGAATACGATATGCCCAACTCTCACGAGGAGAGAGGAAAGGGAAACTACTTAAGAGAGCAACACAGAGAATGAGTAAGGAGGTAGTTTTTTAAGACAGGGTTTCACTTGTGTAGCCTTGGCTGTCCTTGTACATTAGGCTGGCCTCGAACTCAGCTATCCTCCTGCCTCTGCCTCCCCAGTGCTGGGATTACAGGTGTACACACCACAGCTGGCTTTATAAACCTTTTTTTTTTTTTTTTTTGAGAGGAGGCAATTTTACAGAGAGGTTGAATGAGATAACAAGCCAGACACAGGTGAAGACAGAACGAGCCAGAGAATGAGAAGCCAGAAGATTAAAAGATTGCTGGAGTTAGTTTGAGGTCAAGCAGAGCAATTCAGAGGCCAAGAGAAAAGTCAGATGACATAAGTCAGCCTGGAGAGGAGTCTGAGCCAGAAAAGCTGAGCTGAACCAGCCAGAGCTCAGAAAGACAAGAAAGGGTGGGCTTTTTCAGCAGTAAGTCTCAGAGGCTGAAAACGTTAGGTCTGGGTTAGATTGTACAGAGGCTAGAAGCTTCCAGGACCAGGCCTAGGTGAGCAGAAGAAGGCGGTAACCTCTGAGACAACAATCGAAACAGGTGAATAAAAGTTCCTTTTACAAATATGAAAACTTACACAACCTCTTTCACATGCAAAGGGCTGTGGAGCAGTGAACAGAGTGATAAAGGATAAGATTACAAAAACCAGTATCTGCCAAGACGTGAGAACACAAACTCTTTTGTGTTGCCAACAAGGACCTAAGTGAACTAGCAAGATCCCTCAAAGTCCGGACAGGACCTGAGACAAAGACCTCTCAGGTCCCTGTGGAGTCTGCCCACCGGGGAACAGGCCACACAGCCCAGCTGCACGATGCATCCAGTGATTAAGACCACAGCATACTGGCATGTAAGGTGGAGGAGTCACCCTGTGATACCACCAAGCAGAAACTCCAAGATGCTGGCATGGGCACAGGCTGGGGAGGGGGCAGTGACACCCATGGTCAGAGTATACATGGAGCAGAAGAACGGTTGGGCCTTCAACAAGGGTCACCTTGGCAGATGCACGGGACCTTCTGTAGTTTGCATCTCTTATTTGTTTGTTTGTGTGTTTTCCAAGACCGGGTTTCTCTATGTAGCCCTGGCTGTCCTAGAACTCATCCATAGACCAGCCTGTTCTAGAACTCACAGAGATCTGCCTGCCTCTGCTGGAGTGTGTGGATTAAAAGGAATGTGCCACCACCACCTGGCTTGCGTTTCATAATTGGTCAGTTTTATGAAGCTGTACTGTTGGGAGTCACCTAGTAAAGAAAGAGTTCAAGTCTCTAGTTTCCCAAGTTGGAACGAGGTCAGGGTGTGGGGGGAGGAAGGGAGACCCACAACCCTCTCCCAGCACCCATGGCCACAGGAAGGTGCCAGGACTCCTGCACTTGGCCATACAGTGTTTGTATGTGTGCAGACAGAAGATCAGGAGTCGCTCCTCACACAGGGTCTCTCACTAGGGTTAGGGGCTCACCAAATAGGACGACTGGTCGGGAACCCCAAGGATCTGGCCATTCTACCTCTCGAGCACCAGAAGTACAACACACTCTAGCACACTCTACCACTGCTTTGTAACAGATGGGTTCTAAATCTGGTCCTCATGCTTACACAGGCAGCCCTTTACCCACCAAGCCTTCTTCTCAGACCCAGGTATGTTTAAATTAGTACTGTGTTCATGTGTATGATACATGAGTGTGGACACAGCCATACCACGGGCTGCATGAGGAGGCCAGAAGAGGCCAGAAGCCAAGTCTGGGGACTTGGTTCTCTCTTCCACCATGGGTTTTGGGGATCTTACTCAGGTCACCAGTCCTGTGGAACAAGTGGCTTTACCCACAGAGCCACCTCATAGGCCCAAGTGTATGGTGTTAAAGAGCCAGTCAACAGAAACAAAACAAAGCAAAAGCCCAGCCTGAACTAAGGTTGTGGAGGAAGAGATTGTGGGGCAGAGAATCTGAAACAACAGTCCCACCCCAGCTACCTTCTCAGCCCTGGTCATTAGGCCTGTCACCATCTGCCGGCCGACCTCCCCGAAGAAGAGTTGGTTGTTCCTCTCTTCTAGAAGTCCCTGAAAAGAAAGAGGTTGAGCTGGCAGCTTCCCAGAGCAGTGGAGAGGGCAGTCATGGCTGGGTACAGAGTGGCCCTCTATGGGTAGGCCCATGCCCACCCAGTGGCCCCTGCACCATACCCACCTCAAAGGCCTGCCGTACACAATGCAGCTTGGCCAGGAAGTCCTGGTCACTGTAGCAGCCCAGCAGCTCTGTCCTGAGGAGGGGACAGATGGTGTCATGCTACCTGGTCCTGCCTAGCAAAGGCTCAATAGAGGGTAGGGTGTACCCTGGGTGAGGAGGAGGAAAGAACGGTCCAACCTGGCCCTGCCTCAGGCTGGTGCCAGCTTCCCTCTATGTTTCAATCTCTCCCAAGCCAAGGCAGAGGCTGACTGGATGGTCTCTGGGGCCACACTGTCCCGTGTGGACCTGGGCACAGGTGGCAGCTATGGCTATGGTGCCTGGGCTGACCTCAGCCTCCTTTGGTCACTGTGGACCTCCGCACCTCTTCCCTGGGTGGCTGGAGCCACCACAGCCTCCATACATTCTCACCTGAGTGTTCGACACGGTACTTTCCCGTCCTTTACCAGCTGCAGAGCCTCCTCATAGGCAGCAGCAGGCCTGGAGAGAGGAAATGGGTAATCTCCGACCTGCAGGGACTCAAAGAGCTGGAGAGAGGGCCAAGGAGGCCAGTGAGCAGCACCCCACAGGGGACAGAGCTTTGGGCCCCTCCAACAGCGGCCGCCCTAGGGGCCTACCTATGACCCATCATGAAGATGCAAAAGGCACACTGGCCCCATGAGACGGGAGGCCTAGGTTCACATCTAGCCTAGACTTCAGCACTCCTAGCTCCAGGTCTCTTCCCAAAGGAAACGTCTCCTGGACACATGCTCCCATCTTCCTGTCTCAAGCACAGACACCATGACCTCTGCCCCAGCATGGTAGCAGACTAATGCTGACCAAACGACTGAATGGATTAGAGAAGCTAGAGATGGGTGTGGTTCAGAGCCCTGGGGTACAACAGGGGAACCCCTCCTCTGACTATGCAGATCCATAACCCCTGGTCCTCAGGCCTCCCCAGTCTAGCATCTTCAGAGTACCCTGGGTGGCTTGGTTCCCACCCAAGAAAATAACCTTACTCCCCCTACAACCTAGTGTTGACCCAGAGGCCAGGCCATCCCAGTCACCTCAGTGGCTGAGAAAAAGGAGTCTTCCGAGGTCAGGCTGTCCTCATCATCGGCCCGCAGACGCAGTGAGCCCTCTGTCAAGGGCAGCATGAGGGTCCTCTCTGGAAGGGAATTAGACTGGGTTGAGAACCACCCCATGGTGTTGGCAGGAATCCTGGCAAACAGTGCCACTACCCAGACCCCCGGGGCTCTGTCGGGGGCAGATGTTGGCAGAGGTCACAGAGCTGCCCAGAGCTATGTGATAGCAACAGGGACATCTTGATACCCATTCACGTTCTATGTGGTCCTATCAACCTCTGTCATAGAGGAAGGTCCAAGGGAACAGGGCTCTTCCAGTGGGCAAAGCCACACTGAGGCCAGCCAAGAAGCCAAGAGGCTGTGGTCTGCAGCACTCGGCGAGCCCTCTCTGAAGCCCACATGCCCCCACAGTGCACCCTGGGGAAGGCTGAACACGCGGCAGGGACGATGGGCAGGGGACGCGGCTTCCCTCTCGGAGATTCACATTGTTTCACTTCTGCCGAGGGGCAAGAGAACTTCTGTTTGTGGCACTCAGCCTGCTTCTGGCTAACTGCCAGGTGAACACACGCCTGAAGACTGTGTGGACACAGCCTGAGGGTGTCCCCAGGAGGCCAGCAAGGCACACTAACTATGGACTCTTTGAGCCTCCTCTTGCTTCAGTGTCTGCCTGCCATCTTTAAGGGGATACCTCAGGTTCCCTATTTGTTCAGTGAGATCCTGGAACCTCGATTTGTTTGCAGCCCTGGGAACTACACCTGAGTTCTTGCCTTATCCCCGACCTCCGTTCCCGGCACCTCAGGCCGGTGGCAGCCTGTGGCCCTGCTCACCAAGGTCCAGCAGCATGCCCTCAGAGGGGAAGGTGGAGCCGAACTCTTCCTGCAGGTGGTAGGCCCGGTGCAACAGGGACTCCAGCTTCTCAGCAAACTCCCTCCGTTGTGACTCTGGCTATGACAAAAACAATGACCTTTAGCCCGGAGCTGCCAAGCTCCCCGTTCAGACAGGGAGGGCCAAGAAAGTAGAGTCGGCTCTCGGTCCAACAGAACACTAGACTTGTGCCGCCCACAGCAGGAAGCACCACACGTGCCACATGTGCCTAAGGACCAGTATCACGGGTGTGAATACACACACAGCACGATGCCAGAAATACAAGGTATCTCAGTCGGAAGGGCACCATGGCGCACACCTGAACTCCTGGAGCCCTTCAGGAGAACCTCAGGTTTGAGGCCAATGTGGGGTATGTAGTGAGTTCCCGGCAGCCAGGACTACACAGCAAGACCCTGTCTCCAAAAAAACAAGAGAGCATGGCGTGGTGGCACACGCCTGTGATCCCAGCACTCAGGGAGGCAGAGGCAGGTGGATCTCTAAAAGCTGGAGACCAGCCTGGTTTATAAAGTCAGTCCAGGACAGCCAAGGCTATCCTGTTTCAAAAACCAAACCAAAACAAAACAAAACAAAGAAACAAGCAAAAAACAGGCAGTGTGGTGGTGCCAGCCGCCTGTAACCTCAGGATGCAGAGGCAGGTGGATCTCTGAACTCGAAGCCAGCCTGATCTATAGAGAGTTCCAGGACAGCAAGGGCTAGGCAGAGAAACCTCGAAAATAAAATAAAATTAAAATAAACAAATTGATCTCATTTTTTTCTTGCTTTCTCCTTCCTAAGACAGAACCTAGGCTGTCCTCAAACTCACTATGTAACCAAAGATGATCCTGCTACCTCCGCCTCCTGACCCTGGGATTAAGCGTGGGGCGCTACACCTGGTTTACGTGGTGCTGAAGACTTCGCTTGGTGCTTCCTGCACGGGAAGTAAGCGCTCTACCAGCCAAGTGGTACCCCAGCCCCTCTTCTTGCCTTTTTGTTGGCTGCCTGGCTAAACACGTTTCCTGGAAAACACTGTGTCTCTAGGTGACTCAAGATGATGGCTGGACTGAAGTCCCCCACTGAGGGCAGATCCTGCGTACCCAGCAAGCCCTTCGTTGTGGCCTCCTTCAACACCTATAGAAAGGACTGAGAACAGTGTCACCTCGTGAAGAGGGTTCCTGGGACTCGGGAGGCAGGTGCAGACAGTAGTCACTGTTACTGGGTGTTACCAGGCAAGGGAAACTCCACTACATGAAAGTTATGGCCTGCGGGTAACAAGCTGCTCAGAAAAGGGCTGGCTGTCCTGGAAGACCCAGGCGGCAGGAGAATGCTCTCGAGGAGGCATGGCAGGGCCTCCACTAAAGGTGAAGGGTGGGGAAAAAAAAACAACAAAAAAGGTGGAGGGTGGTTGCTGGTACGGGGAGACAGCCCCTGTGACTTCTGTGGCTGTGTTGCTACTGTGACTTCAAGCCCCAGGCATGGCAAGTTGGGTGCCACTCCCTTCACCCTGGGCATGCTTGGGTTTGGGTTCCCAGGTGAGGCAAGGGTTAGCCTGACTGCTATCTCCATGGAAGTGGAGGCAACCAGAGGAGAGCCTGTTGCTACAGTAACCAGAGCCCAGGGAGGAGACAGATGAGGTGCCAATTAAGCCTGAGAAAGGGCCAGAAGAGCTACAAGGCGGCCATCACTGAAGCCTCACCCTGTCCTTGCTGCTCAGCCTCACAGCCTCTCTCTGGGACAGGGACACTCCACAGAGGAAATTCAAGGTGGTGAAGTGGCCCAGGGTGTCTGGCTAAAATATGGCAGGCAGAGACCTAGACCAGACCTGCAGGACTCTGGGCCATGGACCACTCTGCTGGGTTCCTGCCTGTCTTGTCAGCTCCTGAGGATGTCTGTCAGCTCTCTGGGAAATAACCATGGGTGGCTAAGGATTCAGGGTCTTAACACAGATGCTCAACCAACAGGAAAAATGGCAGATGCAGTAAACTTCAGAATTGGAAAAAAAAAAAAAAAAAGTTTTGAGACAGGGTCTCATGTAGTTCAGCCTGGCCTCAATGTAACCTTCAACTTGTTTTGTTTTTTGACACAAGGTTTCTCTGTGTGCCCTGGCTGTTCCTGAACCTGCCTCCACCTCCCAAGTGCTGGGATTGCTGGTGTATACCTGACTTATGTGGTGCTGGGAATGGAAACCAGGTCATGGTGCCCGGTGAGCCAGCTAAGCTTCAGCTCCAACCCAGAATATAAAATTGTCTGTGTGTCTCAGTGGATGCCAGCAAGAGAGAGAAAACTCCATGGGCATGGTGGCACACATCTTTAATCTCAACATTTGGGAGATAGAGACAAGAGGATCTTAGTGAGTTTGGGGCCAGCCTGGTCTACATAATGAGCTCCAGGACAGCACTCAGGGCTACGTAGAAAGACCCTGTCTCAAAACAAAACAAACAACACAAAAAACATGAAAATCATAGGAAAGGAGATCTGTGTAAGTCACGTATCTGAAAACAGAGCTGAGCCTAGACGTCACAAGGAACACGCGCAACTCTACGCCACCATTTTAAGGTTAAAAGTCAAGTGGCATGTCTGTAAGCACACACAGGGGCTAACACAGGAGGATCAGAGCAGACATTTCTCCAAAGGTGGGGGCAGCAACATGGCTCAGCAGATAAAGCTGCTTGCCCACGAGCCTGAGTTTGAGACCCAGGACCCACATGACAGGTCAACTCCAACAAGCTGTCTCCCCACCTCCACCACGCCTTCCCAAACAACAAAGGAACAAAAAAACTCGAGCAAACCCACACAGACAGCCAACAGCACACAGAGAGCCAGGCAACATCAGCAAAGGATGCAAACCGAAGCCGGAGCGCAGGGCTGAGTCGGAGGTGAGGAAAGGTGAGGGAGGCCGTTAAAGTAGGTGTGACGGTTACGAAATGAGGGAGACTGATGGCCGCTGTGGCCCAAAAACATTCTAAAGCCACCCTTCCCCACATCAACGCATTTAGTAGTTGGACTGCACAGTATCCCAGTATTTTTAACACGTTGTTACAGTTCACTCATTGTGCAGTTGGGTGGCTCGGAACTAAGTGGACCCAGCCTCTGTTCGCAGCGGCACAGGGTGGCTCACCACTGTCTGTGACCTGTGTCAGGGGACCTGGCCCCTTTGCTGACCTTGATTGGTACCAGGCACACATACATACACGAGGGCAAAATACAAACACACAAAGCAAGACAAATAAATCTCAACTAACAGCAAAAAGGGTGCTGAAGCAGCAAGACACCTCAGCAGGCAAAGGTGTCACCAGGGCTGACAATCTGATTCACCCTCCAGGCCCCACACGGTGGAACAACAGAACTGATTCCTGTAGGTTGTCCTCTGCCCTCCACAAGCCTACTGTGGCACACACATACCGTGAGCGCGCGCGCGCACACACACACACAAATAAATAAGTGCAATTAGAAAAAAAAAAAAGTAAAAGCCTGGGAAAACCAGATGTAATGGTGCAAGGCCTTAATCCCACACTCAAACAGCTGAGGCAGACCTCTTTGAGCTCAATCCCAATCTATACGGCCAGTCCCAGGCCAGCCAGGGCTACATAGTCAGACCCTGTCTCAAAAACAAACAAAAGCTGGCAAGATGGCTCTTCGGGTAAAAGAATTTGTCACTAAGTCTTGATAAGCCGAGTTTGATTCCCAGGACACACAAGCTGGAAGGAGAACCAATTCTCACACTATCTGTGCATGCACATCATGGCCCACCTCTCTCTCTCTCTGTCACGTACGCACGCTCGCACGTCTGTGCCAGGCACCACCTACTCCTGCACTGTACATTGTTTTTCCATCAGGCAGGTTCCATTCTGTGGAGGTGTAAAGACAGTGCTAGGAGACACAACCCCCACATGACAGCCTCACTGTGCCTCCGGCAACACCGGGTGGTTCTGGCCTGAGCTTGGGGTACACACCTCCCAGGCAGGTCTTTCAGTCCCCCTCACCCGAGCAACCAAGTTCCTGTGAAATCCCCTTGGGTTGGTTTATTTGGCTTGAGACAAGGTCTTACTCTGAAACCCAAGCTGACCTGGCACTCACTCTGTGAACTTTCTGTGTCCTTCCTGACTCTGCCTCCCCAGTGTTGGGTGTATGCTGACAAGCCCAGACTCCCCCAGATTTCTTTTTTTCCTTTAAGATTTATTTATTTGGAGGCTGGAGAGATGGCTCAGTGGTTAGGAGCACTGGCTCCTTTTCCAGGGATCCTGAGTTCAATTCCCAGCACCCACAAGGTGACTCACAACCATCTGTAACATGATTTGAAGCCCTCTTCTGGCAGGTATATATGCAGATTGGGTATCCATAAATGTCAAATAAATAAATAAGTCTTTTAAAAAATTTTTATTTATTTGTTCTGCCCGCATGTGTGCCTGCACACCAGAAGAGGGCACCAGATCTCATTACAGATGGTTGTGAGCCACCATGTGGTTGTTGGGAACTGAACTCAGGACCTCTGGAAGAGCAGTCAGTGCTCTTAACCTCTGAGCCATCTCTCTAGCCCTCCCCCAAATTTCTAATGTCTAAGGTTACTGACATTTCCTACCCCCTTTCCAGCCATCCTGCTGCTCCCCAAGAGGAGCCCCCACCTGACCTTGCTCAGGCAGAGACCAGGAACCTGGGGGCTTTGGGTTTGCATAAAGAATAAAACAGAAACAGCCCGCAGTATTGCTGCCTACACAAGCCAATGCCAAGCGCATGTGCTCAGAATTATCAAACACAGGGCTGGGATCACTGTGTGCTTGGCCCATGCAAGGTTCTCAGTTTTTCCTAATTTTTTGATTTTTGTCTTTTTAAACAGAGAGCCCAGTGTGGTGGTGCACACCTTTAATCCCAGCACTTGGGAGGCAGAGGCAGGCGGATCTCTGAGTTTGAGGCCAGCCTGGTCTATCCACAGAGTGAGTTCTAGGACAGCCACAGCCAGGGCTACACAGAGAAACCCAGTCTCAAAAATACCAGAATAAAAATGGGGCGGGGGTGGGGATGGAGAGCTGGCTCAGCAGTAAGAGCACTTTCTGTTCTTCCGAGGACCCACGCTTGGTTCCCGCCCCCTTCTGGTGGCTCACACCTGTAACTTCAGTTCTAGGGTATCTAACACTTTCTTGTGGACTCTGGTCAACGTGGTCCAAGACATACAAGCAGGGAAACACACATTAAAAAACGAGAATAAAGGCAGTCTTACAAATAAATAAATAAAATCATGAAATTACAATTAAAAAAAAAAAACTTGAGTGGTGTTCAAAACAAACAAACAAACAAACAAACAAAATAAACAAAACCCAAAGGCCCAGAATCAGGTTAACACGGCACAGAGGCCCATTTCCTATAGTCTTGCATCAGTACCTGCACCGTCACCCCCATTCCCCACCCCTGAACAGAGCTGAGAAGGATCCTCAAGCCATCAGCAAGTTGGCGCGGCACTGAGCATGTCGTGTGAACTAGGCCCTCACTCTGCGTGCAGCTTTCCTGGATGCCTGTGGGGGCAGGCACACTGCTGCAGTCTGTCCCACCTGGCACAGAGCCTGGGGAACACCGCCTACCTCTGACGGGGCCTCTGACGAGGTGTCTGGGTGCTGGAGGCTGTCTCCTGGAGTGGGGGTGCTACCTCCATCCCCTCTCTGGCCCACACTCAGTGCCTGCTCCCATTTCTGAAGGGCCTCCTCAAACAGCTCCATGCCTGAGAACACGGGAGAAGAGAGGGTCAGGTCTCATGGTCTCAGCCCCGAAGGGAAGCAGCATGGCAGGGAGGCAGAGGGCCCTGGCAGGACCCTCCAGGTGGGCCTTGACTTCAGCATTCAGGCCTTTATCCAGGCAGAATGTGTCTTCTGAGCAGAAAGGGCTGCAGAGCCCTGAGAGGGATCTGGGGTGGGACGGGAACTGAAAAAGTACCTGCCTTACCCAGGCTCCTAGAAAGCTATCCCTCCCTCCCCCCGCCACACTGCCACCCTACCACAAGGCCCTGGGTTAGCATCCTGGCCAAACCTTGCACATAGAGGCTCTCGGCACTGCCATCGGTGGTGGGCACAGACTCCTCCATCCCTCTGGTTTCCCACGAACCTGAGCACGCGGCTGTGGGGCTGGATGAATTGACCACTACCATCTGGGGACCAAGGATACAGTAAGAAGTGAGGCCCTTTGTGGGTCCCCTCTAAGCCCACCCCCATCGCCTGGACCACAGGCCACATGCCCTCCTAGATACCTCCCCTGAGTGAGCTAGGCCAGCACCCACATCCTCAGAACAGCTTGATAATGCCCCACAAAAACTGTCAAAGTGTGGAAAAACATAGAGGTCAAGATCAACGGCATGTGTGAAACCTCCCCGGGCCCCAGGCCCTGCTCCACCAGTCTGACAAGGAGAGATAGTTGCCACCTAGTTTTTGGGCCTCTCAAACACAAGAGTGGCCTCTACTTTTCCAGAGGGCAAGGGCGTCACCAGAGTGGAGCCAGGGCTGGGCTGGGCTTAGCGCTCCAGCCTGGTCCTTGCTGAATGAATTCATAATGAGTCAGTGAACCCAAAGCTGAGCTCCAGGGAGATGGGCCTCACCTCTGTCTCCTTTATCTCCAGACCCTCACCCCTGCCCCATCCTGGACACCTCCCAGGTACTAGCTCAATGTCTGATACCCAAGCTTGCTGATAAGCTCTCTCTCTCTGGCACCTACACACCTGTCTCTAACTGGTGCCTCCATCAACAGGCTCTGAGCCAGAATGCACGAGTTAAGGTGTGAAGAAGCAAAGGGGCCTCTCTCCCATCTCCCTTACAGGCCGGAAGTCCAAGAACGCCCTGGGGGCCCTGGTCCCACACATCCCGCCCTGGCTCCTCACCGAGGCCAGGCTGTGGGAGGAGCCTGAATGCTTGCTGGGCTCAATAGAGGAGATGCCGCTGAGAGTGTCGTTGCTCTTGCTACTGGGGCTCTGAACCCTCCGGCTGGAGTAGCCTGTGAGGAGAAGGGTGGATGGATCTTACGTGCATCCTCCAACCTGAGCCTCCCTCCCCATCCTCATCTTTCCGGAAGTGTGTCCTGACCCTCTAAGCCAAGACTGTACATTTAGCAGAGGAACAGGGCCCTTCCTGTGGCCTGCTGCTTAACCCAGATTCAGGCCCACAGGAGGGCCGCAAATGCTGGGACAAGCTGACAGCAAGACGGCGGGGTCACTTTCCTACCTCCTATTCAGTTTGTCTGTGTGCCTGCTTGAGTGACTGATAAAGAACTCTCTCTTCCACATGGCTCCGAAGGTAAGGGCACTTGCTGCCAGGCAGAACTACCTGAATTTAACCTTCAACTGAAGGCGAGCACCAACTCCTGAGAGTTGCCCTCTGACCTGCACACACCCACCAGGGCACACACACACGTGCCATGTAAATCCAGGTTCAGTAGCCTATGTCTGTGATCCAAGGGCTCGTATGGCAAGCAGGGAGGCCAAGGCCAGAGAGTCCCAGGGGCTCAGGGCAGCCAGCCTGTGAACGGAGCTGTGAATAGGGCTCTGTCTCAAAACAGCTGCAGACGAGCACCTGAGGTTGACCTCTGGGCACTACAAGAAAGGTGTAGATGAGCACCTGAGGCTGACCTCTGGCCGCCACACTTGCTTGGGATGATCTCATACTCCCCTACGAAGGCATGAGCACACACAGAACACAGGCGCATACAAATTAAGCAAAGTAAATAGTGTATGAAAACAAGCTCAAGGTTGGAACTGGAACACTGTGTTCCATGCCAGCCAAGGCTACGCGAACCTGCCTCAAAAACGAGGCGAGGGTTGGAGAGATGGCTCAGTGGTTAAGCACACTGGCTGCTCTTCCAGAGGACCTGGGCTCAATTCCCAGCACCCATCCGGTGGCTTACAAGTGGCTGGAACTCCAGCTCCAAAGGCTCCAAAACCTCTTCTGGCCTCCGTAGGCACCAGGTGTGCACATGGCGCAGACATGCACGCAAGCAGAACACTTATACACATAACATAATAAGTAATAAAAGGACAGAGAAACATTTCTCTTCCCAGAAAGGGAAATGAGACAGACAAAAACTTCAAGTGAGAAAAGCAGGAGCCGGGGTCCGGCCCATGACAAGACTGTGTTAACCACAGATGCCGCTGAAGCGGGGAAATCCAGCAAAGGGGTGAAGTCAGGAAGGAGATGGTGGAGCCAGGCATGAGGAACTAGGCTTGTATCCAGACCCCATGTGGCGGCTCACAGCCATCTCTAACTCCAGTCATGGGAGACCCAGTCCCCTCTGCAGACCTCCACAGGCACACAGCGTGCACACGCATGTGCATGCACACACACACACACACACACACACACACACACACACACACAGGCAAAGCACTCATACACATAAGATAAAGCAATAAATCCTCAGGGTCAGCAACAGGATCGGCAGGCTGGCTCAGTAGGTACGGGTGCGTGCCACCAAGCCCAGCAGCCTGCGGTTGACCCTTGGGAGCCTCATGGTGGATGGGGAACCAGCTCCTGAGAATTGTCCTCTGAGGGCCTCATGTATACCACGGCACATGTACATACAAGGAATAAATAAACCTCATTTTCCTTATCTTTTTTTTTAAACATTCTTTAAAGATTTATTTATTTATTTATTTATTATTTATATAGTAGTCTGTCTGCATGCGTGCCTGCAGGCCAGAAGAGGGCACAAGTTCTCATTATAGATGGTTATGAACCACTATCTAGTTGCGGGGAATTGAACTCAGTACCTTCCTTGGGAAGAGCAGCCAGTGCTCTTAACCTCTGAGCCATCTCTCCAGCCCCTCCTCATCTTTCTTGACTTTCCTTATCTATTTTGTTTTTTTAAGGCAAAGTCGCCCTTTGTGGCCCACAGTGGCCTTAAGTGCTACACACTCCTGCCTCACACTCTCAAGTGCTAGGATTACAGGCACACACCGTCACATCTGGCTTTAAAATTTGTTTTCCAAGAAAACTGTTTCTCCCAAGTCGAGAACCCAGGAGAACAGAACGCCTTGCCTTGGAAAGAGAGCACCACGTCATTGAAGTGTAGCAAACAGCTATGTTACGCAATTACCAGGGAATGAGTTTTCTAAGGCCAGCAAGATGGTGCAATGGAACAGCACGGTGGTGCACGCCTGTAATCCCAGCACTCTGGGAGGCAGAGGCAGGTGGATCTCTGTGAGTTCGAGGCCAACCTGGTCTACAGAGTGAGTCCAGGACAGCCAAGGATACACAGAAAAACCCTGTCTTGAAAAAGCAAAATAAATTTTAAAAAAGATGATGCAAAGGACAAGGGCACCTGCTGCTGAGCCTGATGACCCGAGTTTGACCCTAGAACCCCTACGTGGAAGGAGGAGAGAACTTTCTTATTCAAGTTGTCCTCTGACCTCCACATGTACACCACAGCACACACCTACAAACCTATGTATGCATATATGCAAACACCAAAATAAAATTTTAAAAAGGTTTTCCCATAGATGCTTGGTTCTATGATGGCACTGTCCCAAAGTTCAGCACACACTGAAAAGGTGACTCTCACCACATGCAAATCCTTTCTTTACCCAGAAGAAGAGAATGGGAGAAATGCCACTGGGTTCATGAACTCCATGGCTTTCTAGTCCACGGGAAAACTGATATCGCTGGTCCTTAACCTGGGTGCCCCCTACAATAAGGACACCCAGAACCAATGCCATCCACCAAGACTGAGCCTAGTATCTCAAGGAATGGCTCTACTATCATTTCTACCGAGGGTAACTTGGCCGTGAGCCAGGAAGGCAAGAGCCTGAGACCCTACAGTGAACAGTGCTGAGATGTGAGCATGTCAGGGATCGCCTACCAAACACCTACCTTTCTTCACTGAAGGCACCTTGCGGGCCATGAGGATGGGCATGGGTACCGTGCCCAGCTGTTCACCTCCCACCTCAGGGCCCACCTGCTTCTTCTTCCGCCGGCGCCTCTTCAGCTGGTGGGCGGCCAGGGCCAAGGCCACAGTCCCAAGGGCTGTGGCAAAAAGAACCTTCCTCAGGCCTGGTGTCAACCGCAGTTGAGAGAATGCCGACTAGAGGAAAGAGACAAGTGGCCTGGTTATGTCACCCAAAAGGAGGCTCTAGGTGTGGGCACAGTGCTCCTCTGCTCATCAAAAGAGTGACAAGGGACACTGAACACTAAATCAGGCCAGCCTCTCCAAGCATGACTCAGAACTATAAAGACCGCAAATGCATTGCTGAGGAGATGAATACTGGGAGCCAGTGTACCCACATACTGCCTGCGGGGCGAACTGCACAGGGCTTGACCTGTGTTGCTTGTCAGAATCCCTGCCACCTTCCAAATGAGGACTCTGGGGTTTGCATCGGTGAAGACACTGCAGACAGTGACCAATATACAACTCAAACCCAGCTCTCACGACCCCATTTCCCAATGATATCTGGAGCTGATGACATTCACTGCCCTAGACCACTCCAACCAAAAAGGCTCATCCCAGCCACCTTCTGCTGCTGGCCCAGCTGGGACTCTGTCCCATGAAAGAGAGCTTTAGGGGATGTCAAGAGACTTGGTCAGCACTCCCATAGACAAACTATGAAGTCAAGAGGTCACCTAGCCTTAGGACAAAGACTAGGGTCAGTCTTAATGTAATCCTGCTTTGAACATAGGACCAACTCTTTTTTGTTGTTGTTTTGTTGGTTTTTGAGACAGGGTTTCTCTGTGTAGCCTTGGCTGTCCCAGACTCACTGTGTAGACCTTGAACTTATAGAGATCCACCCACCTCTGCCTCCCTGAGGCCCAACTCTTAATGACTGTCATCCTGACAGAATCAAGAGGCAAGCCTGAAGTACCTGTGAAGAGTCACCTATATTAACGTTAGCCTGTGAGAACGCCCACGACGGTTATCTTATGACATCTGGTGGGAAGAGTCATCTTAACTGTGGAGGGGACCACTACTGGGCAGAGCAAGATGCCCTGTATGGAACAGAGAAAGCAAGCGAAGCACTGCTGAGTAGGCGTCTGCCATTCTGTCCTGAGTACAGGCACAGGGTGAGGAGGCAGCTTCCTGTTTCCCCACAATGGACCCTCTGGAACTGTGAGCCTAAATAACCTTTCTGCCCTACGTTGCTTTGGTCCAGGTGTTTCGTCACAGCAATGAGAAATTAACCGAGACACATGATACAGCCTTGACGAGAGCTGACAAGGACCCCTGGACAGGTCCACACCCATCTTACCTGACCAAATGTGGTGTACAGGAACACTGGTATCTCAGCCACAGTCATGGCGAGGGCCTGGATCATGGACACACCCTCAGTTCGACGGAACGCCATGGCAGACCCGGCACCCAAGGTGGGAATTCCTGGTGAGTGCTTCTGAGGAGAATGTCTTCAACTGGTCTCTGGCTGGGTCCTGGGCACCATCCACGCCCCAGTGGGATGAGGGCACACATAACAGAAGGTCCTCCCACAGAGCTGATGGACAGATAAGCAGGTGAGACACTGGAAGGCGCTTCCAGGGCTGGGGCTGAGTGGTAGAACGCTCACCTCCCTACTTTCAATACCCAGTCCTGCCGGAAAGCTTTGGGCCAGGGAGCTAGCTAAGCAAGTAAAAACCTGCTGAGCAAGCCTGACAACTGAGTTCCCCAGAATGCAAGATTGAATGTGGTATTAACTTGACCAAATCTAAAATGACTTGGGTGATAGGTCTCTGAGCATATCCGTGAGGGATTCACTACGTTAACAAAGGTGTGAAGACTTGTCCACAGCAGGCAGCCCCATTCCCTAAAGGCAAGCATGCATTCTTTGCTCTCTGGATCTTGATGGTGGATGTAAGGTGAGCAGCTGTCACGAGAGCCTGTCATTGTGATGTCCCCACAATGATGAAGTACCACCTGGAACTGTGAGCCAAAACAAACCCTTCCTCCCCTAAGCTGCTTTTGCTGGGGTATTTTAGCTCAGCAGCAGAAATGAAACTAGATATGGAAGAAAAGACCTGACTCACAAAAGCTCTTCTCTGGTTTCCACATGTGCCTAGAGCAGGTGCTTCTGCACTCATATACACAAGTAAGTCATTTTCTGTATGTATGTGTATATGACACGTATGTTCAGATGCTTGCAAAGGTCAGAAGAGGGCACTGGATACCCTGAACCTGGAGTTACAGGAAGTTGTGAACTGCTTGGTGTAGGTGCTAAGAACTGAACTTGGGTAGGACCTCTGCAAAAGAAGCAAGTGTGCTTAACTACTGAGCCATCCTTCCAGCCCCAGTAAAAACTTCTTCCAAAAGAAGGTTGAGACTAGAGTGATGGCTCGGTGGTTAAGAGAAACAGATGCTCTCCCAAAGACTCAGGTTCAATTCCTTATTTCACATGGCGGCTCACATCCGTGATTCTGGTTCCAGGGGATCCACTGCCTATTTTGGCCTATCCCCCATGGACACCAGACATGAATACAGTGTACAGATAAACATGCAGACAAAACATCCATACGCAGAAAATATTTAACATTTTGGGCTTAGAGAGTTGGTTCAGCAGTTAAAAGCATTGGCTATTCTTCCTGAAGGCCCAGGTTCAAGTCCCAGCACCCACATGGTGGCTCACAACTGTCCGTAACTCCAGCTGAAGGGGACCTGACACCCTCTTTGGCTTCTGAAAGCACCAGGCACATGCATGGTATACAGACATATACATACATGCAAAATGCTCATCCATGTAATTTTTTCTTCAAAGGTGCACACATGAGCACAAAGAGATGCAAACGAGAGTGTCCTCCGGGGTTGGGCACCTGGCGCAGGAACTACAGGCCTGTGAGCCCAGCTGAGGCAGAAGGATTAAAAGTTCAAAGAATGACTGGGCAATTTAGGCAAACTATATCTCAAAAAATTTTAAAGCACTTGTCTGGCTTGTAGCAGTGAGGGAAAAGAGTGCCTTCAGTGAGGAAATGAACACCAAACGTGCATCTAGAATCCCAGGCTCCAGCCCTCTGTCCCCACAGGCAGATAAGCAACCTACTGCACAGACACCTCAACAAGCCTGGGAGCAGAAGGCAGCATGTATAGCATGCTAGCAGCAGAAAGAACCCAGAGATGGGGGGTAAATAGGTCACCCCGTAACTTAGGGCCTCCAGCATTTTCTCAGCCTTTTTAAACACACAGGCCACTTTCTAAATAAAGATCTCAGGCTCCAGGCAGAGAACCATGCCATCCTTTTCACAAAGCCAGGAATGCTTCATTTCCTGTTGGCTAAATGTTTCTGCTGATTTTGTTGTGGTGGGTTTTTTTTGTTGTTGTTGATTGTTTTTGTTTATATTTATTTTTGAGACTCACGCTGTAGCACAGACTGGCTTTGAATTCAAGATACTTGTCCTGCTTTTGTCTCACAGTGAACACATCAGAGGTTTGATCATGTAAAACCAAGACCCCAAAGCTCCACAAGGTGTTCCTTAGGACCCTGCAGGGTGCTCCCACTGCTATGATCAAGTTCAAGGATGCTTCCTGGGATCGCCAGAGGAAGGAACACACAGGACAGGACGGACTGTCTCCCTGGGTAGCCAAAGCTCACTAGGCCAGCACAAGAGATGAACAAGGAACAAGCTTATCCTTGGTGAGTGGAGAAGGCACACAGCCCTATCAGTTAGCCCTAAGGCTGGGGGTTGGGGGGCAGGGCAGGAGGGAGGGGCGACAGAGGCAGAGGGCGGGCCAGCAGAGTGAAGTTCAAGGGCTAAAGAAATTGCCACATTGTCAAGGGCAGGAGACATTTTGCCTGGAGGCTGTGAAGTGAGCTATGTTCCTCTAAACCTCTAGCCTGGCTTGGCCTTGAGGAGGAGACAAGGACACCAGATAGGGTGAGCTAGACTTTTCCTTGCCTTTCAATAGGCCAGCGCACTAGCTCTCTGTCACATCTCTGAGTGCAGCTGTTCTCAGAGCGCTCAAAGTAACCATCATTTACCACAAAAGGATGTGAAAACTGAGGCTTTCAAAGGTGAGGCCCCAAAGCTGTGGTGGAGCATCCTAGCCACTGCCCACTGCTTGCCCACATCAAATCCGAAGTCCTGGAACTTCTGAGAAAGCCACATGGAATCGGAGGTGAGCCTATTCTAGAGCCAAGGCAGGCGGCAGTGGGGATGGAGGCCAGTCATCTGTTTGTCTGCAGGACAGTCCAGTTAACCCTGGCTATGCCCATCAAGAGAAAGGTCACACTTCACAGAAAGAAAGGGTCCAAGCTCAACACCATCTCCTACCTGTCCCTCCCTTCTAACGCTGGCCCTACCTGGGCAGCCAGCCTCCAACTGTGCTCCACATTTTTGAGTGGGCAGGATGTCTGCTCTTCCACTCCCAGGCACCCTGGGGGCCTGATATCCCGGCTTTCCAATTCAGGCCACCCTCTCTTGTGCAAGACAACCCTACTAATTGGCCTGGGCATTCTCTCGTCCCACCTTGACCTAGCTATGTTCCCATAAGCCCTAAGCCACCCTCGGCCTCACGTCCTGTTTTTCCCATCCCGGGACATCTCTGTGGGATCCCACGCAGCCTGGCATTCCCCACAGTGAACCTCAGCAATATTTCGTCCAAGCTTCAGTATCTGCTCCTTGGAGAGGGCCCGGCCAGGGACCTTCCTCTCCGGCCCTGCCCTCCCTAGGAAATCCTTGAGGGTCGTCCACATACAGCGCTGCTCACAGCCGGCACACCCGCTCCTTGTAGGCTGAGGAGTACCTGCAACCCTGCTTAGATGCCCGCGGCGTTCCAGGCCCGGGAGTCTCCTCTCTGACCCAGCTCCCTTCCCGTTCTACCCCCGGGGCCATGCATCCTCTCGCGCCGCCTGGTCCGGGGGATCCACTCATCCCACCTTGGACACCTTCGCGGACCGGCGGGACCGCGGACCCCTGCGTGGGCCGGGCTCCATCCTCCGCAAGCCTCGCTCCTGGCCCTGCTGCGCTGCTCACCCGCGCAGTGAGCGACACTCACCCGGGATCCCATCGCTGCGGAAGGGCAGCGTCTCCTTTCCAGGCGGCAACACAACCAAACCAGGCCGCTGGGGGCGTGGGGGAGGCGTGGCCTCGATCCGGCCGACACAGCTCTGACCAATGAACGATTCCAGATCTCTCGGCGCCGCCGTGACCCTCGGCCAATGGGTTGGGCTACGTGGCCACGTCGGCCCCGCCCCTCCCGCCCTCCGTCCCGCCCCCTAAGTGTGGTTGCGGTGTGGATGTGGCCTCTTCTCGCCTCCGATTGGCCGCCAGGATTAGACGGACGCAGGAAGGTGGGACGCGGCCGCTCCACACAGACGGCGGAGCGGGGGCTGCCCGTGGCTCGCTGGTAGGCGGCTGGTGCAGCCTCGCTGCGCAGGGACCCATCCTCTCCGAGCCTGAGAGCCCGTTTTTTTTTCAAAAGTTGCGCCTTCAGGCTTCGCTGACAGTCGCTGCTTCGTTCTGTGCACCCGACCTTTAGCGTTGTCGTCCCTGGGATGGACTCTCCTGTGCAGCGCGCCCACGGGCACACAGACGTACAGCTGCAGCCCCAAATTGTTTGTGTGTTTTTTGGTTTGGTTTGGTTTTTATGGGTTCTTTTTCTAGACAGGGTTTCTAAAGGATCCGTGCTTTGGAGCCTGACAGACTGGTGGGGTTTTTTGTTTTGGTTTGTTTTTCTTGTTTTGGTTTGGTTTCTGGTTTGGTTGCTTCTTTGGGCTGGGTCTTGTTGTTGTTGTTGTTTGTTTTTGTAGTTTCGGGACAGGCTTCTCTTTGTGGGCCTGGCTGTCCCGGAACTCCTGCTCTGGCACGTGCCGCCACCGCCGGCTGGACGAGCTTGAATTCTTGATCTTCCTGCCTCCAATCCCCAAAGTGCTGGAATTATAAACCTGTGAAATTCTGCCACGATCCATCCAAGTTCTCTGTCGTAAATATTTATGGTTTTCATCTCAAGAAGGAAAATTAAAAGGCTAAAAATGATTTTTTTTTTTTTTTTTTTTTTGGTAAAATATAGTGTACATGTAAGTGGCTGTATAGGCCAGAAGAGGGCGACCCGATTCTATGGAATTGCAGTTAGAACTGTGTGTGAGGGATTATGTGGGTGCTGGAAATTGAGCCCTAGTTCTCTGCAAGAGCAATACACTGGGTTTAACAGCTGTCTCTCTACCCTCCAGTTACTGATCCATTTTCATTCAGTGTGAGTTCCTGAATGAAGGAAGGAATATGTAAATGGCGCTTACAAGACAGGAGGTAGCAAATCCCAACACTCAGGGAGGCAGAGTCAAGCTGGATCTCTTGTCAGTTCCAGGCCAGCCTGCTCTACAAATCGAGTCCAAGACAGCCAAGGCAAACAAATATACCAGAGGCCAAAACAAAACAAAAAAACAACAACAATAAAATACAAGTCTGTCAGTCTCCAAAGCATGGACCCTGTCTGGGAAAAGAAACAAAGCAAAACAAAACAAAACAGCAGCAACAAAAGAAGACAGGGCTGGATGCTGTGTAATGGTCACTGTGGCGAGCTACAGATACTGGTGAGTAAAGGAATAATCAAGATAAACAAATCTTTACACAAGACAGTGAACGCAGAAACTTGGGACTTGTGAATGACAGGGTGAGTGACAGCGCTGACAGAGGTGTTGCATACAGACTAAGCCACTGGTCATTGGCTCTGCCAGTCTCTAGAGTTCCAAACTCCACATGTCTGGGCCCCACCTGTTCTTAGGACAACGCCCAGAGACCTGGGCCAACGCCCAGGTAACTCCGGGGAACCCAGACAGATGGACAAAGTTTACCAGCAGAGGAACAGTTCTGGGCAAAAAGATGAGGCTTCGCTGGGCCTGGTGATGCACACTTTAATCCCAGCACTGCGAAAGCAGAGGCATGTGAATCTTTATGAGTTCTAGGCCAGCCTGGTCTACATACCAAGTTCCTGGGCAGCCAGCACTACATAGTGAAACCTTGTCTAAAAAAGAAAGAGGAAGATGTGGAGGGGCAAGAGGAAGAGAAAGAAAGAAAGAGGGCTGGAGAGATGGCTTACAACCATCTGTAATGGGATCTGATGCCCTCTTCTGTCTGATGCCCTCTTTTCTCAGGAAGATATTCATGTAAATAAAGTACTTGTGTACATAAAATAAGTAAATAAATCTTAAAAAATAAAAAGAAAGAAAGAAAGGAACTTTAAGGGGTTGGAGAGGTGGCTCAGGAGTTAAAAGCACTTGATGCTTTTCCAAAAGTCATAGGCTTGGTTCCTAGCTTTGAACCAGGAAGCTACAGTGGTGTGTGACTCCAGTCCACGGGATCAGACACCAATTCTGGACACGCTGGGCGCTGCACACATGGTACATGCAGGCAAACACCCACACACATGAAACAATACTAGAAACTAATGAAAAGGGAGCCAGGTGGTGGTGGCGCACACCTTTAAACCCAGAGCTTGGGAAGCAGAGGCATCTTTCCTGGGATGAGTTTGGCTCCCGGCCTCCTCTTGAGGCTGCTCACAACTGTCTTTAATCCCAGCTCTGGGAGATCTGGCAGGTTCTCTTGGTCTCCACAGGTGCCTATTCACACATGGCACATGCATTCAAATAAAAACAGGAGCAAATTTTAATGGGAGGGAGGGGCCGGAGGGATGGCCCAGCAGTTAAAAGCACTGGCTGCTCTTCCAGAGATCCTAAGTTCTGTTCCTAGGATCCACATGGCAGCACACAAGCCTCTGAAACTCTAGTTCCAGGGGATCCAATATCCTCTTCTGGCCTCCGTGGGCACTGCATATTCAGGGTGCATATCACACGCAAACAAAACACCCTTACTCATAAATACATTTAAGAAATTAACAAAAAAAATCAAACAAGGCCAGGCCTTCAGGACCTGTCTAAAAGTAGGAGAGACCTGACTCTGGAAAGTTGTTCTCTGACCTCCACACGTGTGCTGCTGCTTTCTTGTCTCCCTAACACACACACACACACACACACACACACACACACACACACACACACATAAAAACATAAAATTTAAGAGCAAAAACAGGTTTGGAAAGATGGCTCCACGGTAAAGAAGTTAAAGCACAGCCTTGAGAACCTAAGTGAAAGAAGCCATGTAAGATCCAGGAGCATGGTCTCAGGATTCCTCTAGCCAGCCACCCGAGAGCGGCAGAGACCTGAGAATCCCTGGAAGGTCGAGGCCAGAGCAACACCCGAGCTTATCTTCTATTGTACAAATGTGCCCTGTGCCCCATGTGCTTATGAGAGCTTATGTACAAGTGCACACACAGACACAAATACAAACATACAGCCACACACAGAGAAAAAAGATTAACAAAAACAGGAATGATGGCTCAGAGGTTAAAAGCACTGACTACTCTTCCAAAGGTCCTGAGTTCAATTCCCAGCACCTACATGGTGGCTCACAACCACCTATGAGATTTGGTGTCCTCTTCTGGCCTACAGGCATAAATGCAGTCAGAACACTGTGTACATAATAAATAAATCTTTAAAAACAAAAAACTAGGAAGCAAAACAAAAACAGGTTGATGTGGTACCACACATCTTTTATCCCAGGGCAGTTTCTGTGAGCTGGAGGCTAGCCTGGTCTACATATGGAGTTCTGGGCCAGTTGGGGCCTACAGAGATCCTGTTCAAACAAATATAGCCCCACTATTTAAAAATAACGAAAATTAGTCTAAGAGTCTTACCAAAATAGTGAATAGTATACATGTTTATGCAATTATATATAATATACATATGTATATATAAAAACAGTGTATATACTAAATATTACATATAAAATAGTATATATACTATATAGGGCGTACAGAAACAGTCTATTAGAGCGAGCGGCCGGCTGATTTGGCCGGCGGCCGGCAGGGGACAGCAGCGCTCCCAGCAAAGCCCAGCCCCGGCTGGCCCCGCCCCCGGCTGCCCCGCCCTGCGTCCGGCTGCTCTGCGGCCGCGCGTGCGCAGAGGGCGGGCGCGGGCAGCAGGTGGGCGGGGTGAGGGCAGGGTAAGCGAGGCGGGGCGGGGGGCTGCCGGCTACTCGGGTGCCGGCCGTGCCGCCGTGCGTACCGGCGCGCCATGGACTTCAACATGAAGAAGCTGGCGTCGGACGCGGGCATCTTCTTCACTCGGGCGGTGCAGGTGAGGCCTGGCGCGACGCTGCGCTTGGGGCCCGGATGTGGAGCGCGCCCCAGGAACCCTGCAGCAGGAGCCGCTTCCCTGTAGCTGCGGCCGTGCGCGCTGGGGATAGCTCGGGCCCCTGCTCCCCTGTCCCTGAGTTACCCAGAGGAGCTCCCAGCGGGGTCAGCTGCACCACCCTGGTGGCCCGGGGCCGATGGGCGCCTGGGCTCCGGTGCCTGGCGCCTGGCAGTGCCCGCTTGCACTGATGAGTTTTCCCATTGCCCAGGCGCCTGCACAGACCGGGATGTGAATGACCACTGGGTGGTTCCTACCTCCCTGCACTAGCCCCTGAGGGCCACACTAAACGCCCAATCCCTTCAGTGGACCTCAGTCTCCATAACCGTGCAGTGGGCAGGTTGGTGCTATGGTTCCATCCGGTACCTTTCGTTCGCTTGGATAGTCAGGCCGGAAGCCAGGAGTTATTTCCTTTCTGCTCCACGGGAGGCCTGTTTCCTTTTAACCACCAGGCCTAAAGCATGTTGAGAAGGCTGGGATCTGGCTGGGCGCCCTGTTTGGGTTCTGTCCAGACCGTTAATGCTGATATTGGAACATTCCCTAAACATTTGGGATACGAAAGAGAAACTGAGGCGAATTAATGTCACAGTGAAGTGCTGGAGTCAGATATGGATGTGAATGCTTCTTGTGACCTTGGGGGCAGGGGCTTTACCTCACTGGGCGTCAGTTTCTCACTCTGAGAAATGGGGTGAGTGGCCCTCTTTCCCCGGACGGCTGCAAATGCAGTTGCCAAGGTTCAAAACACCTGTGCAGCGTGTGACCTTGCACAGCTCACCTCAGCCTGACTCTGCCCTTCCGTAAAGCAGATCTTAGGCTCAGGTTGGAGGCCCGTTCTGCTCCAAGGGTGCCTGTGGGATTCCTGGGGTTTCTGCACCCCTGGGCTGACCCACCTCAGTACTCCAGAAACAAGTTCCGGATGCTGTCCTTGCGGTGCTGGTCGACTGCCGAGCACGGTTCCCCTCCCTCTCAGAGGCGCATGTGGCCGTGTTTGCTAGAAAGCCCAGAGTTCCCGTGAGACTTGGTGTTCCCATTGGGATTACCATCCCTGTCCCCAGTTCCAAGCTTGGTGGGTAACTGCAGCGGCGGAGGCAGTCCTGGGTGCCTGGGACTTCAGAGCCTTGCAGTTGGGGGAAATCCTGTCCCAGTGTTGGCATGGCAACCACACTATCGCTCGCATCTGGGAAGAACCTGATCTGCCGGTTTCCTGCCACTGCTGGGTTCTGCCACCTGACCTGGTCAGGCCCACAGACAGGGCTTAGAGGTAGTGGTGGCTTGGACTTCCTGGCCCGGCTCTGCCTGATGGGGGCGGGCCCACAGGGTCACTCATTCACACTTGAGCTGGAGCCAGGGCCCAGGCTAGGGTGGAGGAGGAAGCTGGGAGTGTTATAAATAGAGGCTTTCTGTGCTCCACACACCCACCCTCCTGCTGATGCCATCTTGCTGGAAACTGCCTTGGATGGATTCAGGCGTGGTCCCCTTCCCCTTTGAAGGAAAGGGACTAGGTACCTGCAGTGTGACCTAGAGTGGTGTCTTCCATGGGAGCCAGCAGGAAAGATGGAGGTGTTCTTTGTTGCCAGTATGTGGCAGCTCTTGTGGGTCCATGTTCCTGTGCCAGGCACCAGGACTTGCATCCCAAAGGAAACAAGGCCTCCCCAGCTTGAAACCTCAGGGCAGGATCCCTTCTTCTAAGAGTTGATTTTGGGGGAGGGGGTGGCCCTCACCAAGAGCCCCAGAGTTGTGTCTGAAACAGCAACCAAAGTCTGTGAAGCAGGTGGCAGAGTGGCAGGGTCAGGGCAGAGAGGCGAGGAAGGCCTAGAATAAGTAACGTGAATAACATGCCTGTGGGTGGGCGTGGGTAGCTACTCTGCCGAGACACTGAGCAGTGATCTCAGTACTGGCAGCGGGGCTTTACCTCGTCTCAGTCGGGCAGGGAGCAAGGCTGGCTGTGTGGCCTCAGGAAGCCCAGCAGGCAGGGGGACCTGTATGTTGGGCAGCTGTTCGCACCCAGGGACATCACTGGGAGACTTCATAAATGATAACGCCGGCTGAGGCTACCCCTGGGTTGGGTGTGGCTCAGCAGGAGTGTTCTGGTCCAGGATGTTTGAGGCCCTGGGTTTCATCCCCAATATTTCCAAAAAGAAAACTGTTAAGCCCATACCATATGCTGGCCAGATATTCTGTGAGATGTGTGTTTGCCACTTTACAGGGAGAAACTGAAGCCCAGGGAGACAATGTGGCCTCTCTGAGCCTTTTGCTAAGCTGGAAAATGAGGGCAACAGCAGGGGGCAACCACAGGGGCAAGGGCAGGCACTGTGAAGACAGGGAGAGGCTGAGCCGCACAGGGAGCAGCTGAGGGAGGAGGCTCTAAAGCAGGGAGAAGCCCAAAGCCTGCTGCATAATTGATGGCTGCCGAGAGACCTGGTGGCTCCTTGCTCAGCCTCTGGATGATTCATCCCAGGCAGAGGCTCTGTGGGGCCTCCAGCCCACTCGCCCCTGACTCCAGCACAGCCCAGCCTCAGTGCCGGTATCTGTGTGATGGGAGGTTTGCTGCTGCCTGCTTTGGAAAGCACAGACACTGAGTGCCCCAGGCTGCACAACATAGTCCCGTCCCTTATCTTACACCTGTAGCACACTCCACCTTTTGCTGTTGGATGATGACCTTGGTTGAGCCTGGTCAGCCGGCTGGGAAAGCCTGTGCTTAGGAAGATCTGTTTCTGGGCTTTTCTAGATTAGATGGCTTAGACCAGTTTTTGAGTATTCCTAGGTGGCCCACATGGCTCCAACCAGCTCTGATGGGGTCCCATGCGACTTCCCAGGTCCTGGGTACACCCAGCAGCTGGGCTGACAATGTTCTCTGGTTACCACACCCAGAAGCCAAACATTTGGCCAGCCTCCCTCCCTAGACACACTGCCTGGGTACACTCAGCAGCAGTGTGCGTACTTCACGCTGGGCACAGGCTCAGGTGCCAGCCTCCTCCTGTCTGCACACATTTTTTTCTACCTTACCCTTTACAGCCTGTGGGAACTATTCTCACTATCTGCAGGGGAAACTGAGGCCCAGAGAGGCAAAGCCCTTTCCCAGTGCCACACAGCTCAGCAGGAGGAGATATGAATAGAACCTTAATTCTAGAACCCAAATTCTTGCTATCTTCTGTCCTCGCCCCTCTTCCCAGCAGCCCCTAGCCGCCCATGGAGTCCCATGGTAACTCAGAGCCCCGTCTGTTTCCTCAGGACTTGCTACCACACTGTGTCCCTCAGCCCTGGTGGCCTCCTCCTCAGGGCTCGTACTTACTGGGAGCAGACATGCTTTGTGGGGCATCCAGCAGCCCTGATCCCAGCTCACCCTAGAACAAGGCAACCAAGACCCAGGATGGGCTAGAAATAGGCACCCTCTGACGGTTTCTAACCTCTCCTGCTCTTCCTCCCCAGTTCACAGAGGAGAAGTTCGGCCAAGCCGAGAAGACCGAGCTCGATGCCCACTTTGAAAACCTCCTGGCGAGGGCAGACAGCACCAAGAACTGGACAGAGCGGATTCTGAGGCAGACCGAGGTGCTGCTGCAGCCCAACCCCAGTGAGTGGGTGCGGGGCAGAGGCAGGTGGGCACTGGTCAGGCCTAGGGCCACAGATATAGGGCACCAGAATGCCCTCTGAGCAGAGGGAAGGCTAGGCTGGCAAGAGAAGCTGAAAGCCTGAACTGAAGTGTATGTGGGGAAAGAAGCATGCAAACTACAAGTGCTGGCATGGGCTCCAGGCCAGAGGTGGGAAAAGGCTTGCCCAAAGTCATACAGAACCAGCCTGCAGGAGAAGCCCCACAGTGAAGGCAACCTGCATGTCACCTGTAAACCTGCAGTGTCCCTGAAGTGTCCAATGGGCCTGGGGACAAGGGAGTTGTTCAGATGTGTGTTACACACTGTAAAACCTCTTTCAGCAGGAGAGACGTGGACGGTTCTGGCTTCTGTGCTGGACTGCTTGCAGTCGTTCTGTCTCTGAGCCTTGGCCGCCTCTCATAGTGGGGGTGGGGGCGTAAGGGATGGGTCTGCAGGTCTTCAGTATGGAGGCTGGGGTGGGGGCTGGCCCAGCAGTGCACTGACACTGTGGCAGGCATCTTTGGCTTAGACCGGAGAGCCCCGTGGTTTGGTTGTTGTCTCCCTGCAGGTGCTCGAGTGGAGGAGTTCCTGTATGAGAAGCTGGACAGAAAGGTGCCCTCAAGAGTCACCAATGGGGAGCTGCTGGCTCAATACATGGCAGAGGCGGCCAGCGAGCTGGGGCCCAGCACCCCGTATGGTGAGCGGACCACAGAGCCGGGGCCAGAGTGAGGGCGACTGCCTCTAGCTCCCTAAGTTTCCCCTCCTTCCCCCTTCCCTCTTTTTTTATTTTGAACTGGGTTTTGCTATTTAAGGCTGGCTTTAAAGTCACCCAGCTTTGACCTCTGAGTGCTAGACTGAGGGTGTGGGCCAGCAGGCCAAGTGCCTGCTGTAAAAAGTATACAGATAACCCGAGTGAGTTCATCCCAAATGCAAGGTCTTCTGTGAGCGTAGAAAAGAATAAAAGAACAAGTCCTACCTTCATTAGTGTATGTGAGGTGTGGTGTGTGTGCATGTGTGGTATATGTGTGTTTCTGTGGTGCTGGAGTTGGAACCTGGGGCCCTGTGGATGCTTGGCCAGCACTTTGCCTCAGAGCTGCATCCCAGCCTGCAGTGTGTGTGATCACAGGTGCACGTACGTGCAAGCGGTGGCCAGAGGTCTAGCCTTAGGCACCTCTAAGGAGGCAGCGCCCTGCTGTGCGAGGCAAGGCCTCTCTCTAGGGCTTGGTGCTTGCTTGCTGACTAGGCTTAGCTGGCTACTTCTGGAACAGTGAGATTCCAGCCACACATCACCACACAGCTCCACCTCACTCAGAGTCTTCCCTTCACACAGGTAGTCCTGATCCCCAGCTCAGGCTGGTAGTGACATGGCTTTTTGGTCTGTCTTCCATTGCTCCAGCATGTATTTAACTGTTTGAGAAATTGCTGGTCCTGGGCTCTAGCTCAGTCAGTTGATAAAGTGCGTTGTGGGGCCTGTGGCTTGATCTCCAACATACCATAAACCTGGTTTGGTCGCAAAGAGAAGGAGAGAAATTGCCAAATTGTTTTTGACAAGTGGTGTTTTGACTCCATACCCCACTAGTAATAAACTGTTTGGTCTTCAGCTGTCTGGATTTTAAAGCTCTGGACTTTTTTTCATGGCCTACAACAGTGGTTCTCAACCTTCCTGATGCTGTGACCCATGTTGTGGTGACCCCAAATTAAATCATTTTTATTGCTATTTCATAACTATAGTTTTGGTACTGTTACGAATTGTAATATAAATATCTGTGCTTTCCGATGGTCTTAGACAACCCTGGTGACCCGCAGGTTGAGAACCTCTGCCCTAGGGGCTGGAATGATGGCTCAGTGATTTAAGAGTACTGACTGCTCTTCTAGAGGACCCAGGTTCAAATCCCAGTACCCACATGGCAGTACACAGCTGTCCGTAAGTCCAAGATCTGACACCCTGCACAGACATACAAGCAGGCAGAATACCAATGCACATAACAAAGGTAAATAAATTAAAAAAAAAAAAAAGACAGAGAGAGAACCTCAGGCCCTAGTATAAGACCTATCTGGGGATTGGTGTGTGTTCACTTGGCAGCATCTTATATTATGTGTTACTGGGTAAAGTGTTGTTCGGGAAAGTTGGCTGCTGATGGAGTGTTCTTGCTGACTGTGTCTCACCATGGTTATTGAGAAAGAACATGGAACTTTCCAGCTGTGTTTTACACTGTCTTTTTTTTTTTTTTTTTTTTCCTGCAGTTTGTCAGTGTTCAGTGTATATGTTTTAGAGCCTTCCCTGTTAGGTCCTTATGTTTATCTTCCTGATGGATTGGTGTGTATGGACATGCATGTGTAGGCCAGAAGTCACATCTGGATATTTTCCTCCACTGTCCTGTCCTCTCACTTGGCCTGTAGCTCATTTATTCTGCTGTGCCAGCGTACATCAGAGATCCACCTGTGTCCCCTGCCTTCTGCAATAGAGGTTATAGATGCATGCCCTTGCATGTCTCCCCAGGCCTGGACTGACTGTATTGTCCCTATAAAACAACACTGTAGCCAGCAGTGCTATAACGCCTGCGTTCTTACCACCTGGGAGGCTGAATGTGGAAACCATATAAATCAGAAGCTTGGGACCAGGCTGGTCAAGAGACTCACAGTCTGTCTCACAAACTAAAATTAAAATGCTATTCATTGTCTTTAGTTAAACTTCGTGGCTGAGCCAAGTGTTGGCAGCACACCCCTTTAATCCTACCACTGGGGGAGGCAGAGGCAGGCGGATTGCTGTGAGTATCAGGACAGCCAGGACAATCCTGTCTCAAAAACAATACAAAACAAACAACCTTTTTACCTGAAAGTCCATTTTGTCTGACGACTGTATGGCTACTTAGCTCTCTAGTGCCAGCGTTGCATAGTATATTTTTTCTGTTCTTTTCTTCTCAACCTATTTGTATCATAAAATCTCAAGTATGGCTCTCACCAGTGGCATTCAGTATAGACAATATTTAGAATTTGTTTGTTTGGTTGTTTTTTTTTTTTTTGTTGTTTTGTTTTGTTTTTTGAGACAGGATTTCTCTGTGTAGCCTTGGCTATCCAAGACTCACTTTGTAGACCAGGCTGGCCTAGAGATCACAGGGATCTATCTGCCTGCCTCGGCTTCCCAGAGTGCTGGGATTACAGCATGCGCCACCATGCCCAGCATATTTAAAGTTTTTAAAAATACCTATTCTGATAGTCATTGCTTTTTCATTAATGTAATTATTGATGTGTTGGATTTACAAGGGTTGTTTTGTTGTTTTGGTTTGGTTTGGTTTGGTTTTGTAGGCAGTGTCTTACTAATTTGCCCAGAATGGCCTCCAACTCTGGGCCTTCCAGTCTCAGACTCGAAGTTGATGAGATTGTGTGCCTGCCCACCATTCCCAGCTTGCTTTTCTCATTTTAAGCTGGCTTCCAAAGAGTCGTCCTTGGGCAGTACATGTTAGTGTACTTAAGTGTACTCCCTGATAAGTGTAGCCCTTATCAGGGAGAGGTTGTTCTTAAATACCTTCACCCACTGAGACTTTACCAGTGTGGGTGTGTGCATTGGGAAACTTGTCCAAAGGTTGAGCAGTTTACAAATCTTTTGCCTCGTGGGTGCAAGGCTTTCTATTCTGTCAGGGGTGGGAAGTGGCTGGTGCGCTCCCCACTGTCTCAGACACACCAGAGGTGTGCTTGCTGGTACATTCATGATGCCTTAGACTTCTGGATGGTGTTAAATTCAGGCAGGGGTCATGCTCTTAACACCAGGCAGGCCTCCAGTTGCAGGCTGGCTTCTGTTGGCCTTTCTTAGTGATTTGCAGTGAGAATGGCACAGTTGTCAGTAGTGTACCCGAGGATCCTGCGTTTTGCTTCATGCATGTCAGCCCCACAGCAGCTGCACTGGGGCAGTGGCCATGCCACGTAGGTAGAGAACCACAGACAAGGAAGAGATGGCACGTGCCCAGACTAATGCCACTTCATCGTTCTTACCAGGGTCCAGTAGTTATGCCGCAGAAATGTACCTCCATTTGTTTTTGTGCCTTTGGTCAATTTCCAGAGCCTCGAAGTTGACATCCTTGACAGCTGTGTTCAATTAGTGTGCTTTTTCAGGGATACTTGTCAAACTCCTTTTTCTCATTCTGGAACTCCCCAATCATTGGTTTGTTTTGAGACACAAGGCCTCACCCCCTGCCTGATAGGCAAGGCTTCACACCCCAGCTGCCCCTATTTTTTTTGGGGGGGGGGGTTCAAGACAGGGTTTCTCTGTGTAGCCTTGGCTGTCCTAGACTCACTCTATAGACCAGGTTGGCCTCGAACTCTCAAAGATCTGTCTGCTTCTGCCTCCCCTAAAGGCCTGTGCCACCTTGCCCTGCTCCCTGTCTATCTTTTTAAGGCTGATGTCCAGCATATCTGCCCGTCACAGGTTGGTGACTCTGAAGGTTGCCAACTCTGAAGGTTGCCTATGCTTGCCTGGCAGCCCTTCTGGTGGCAGAAGTTCTGCCCTCTCCTCACCCTATGACTCTCTTCCTAGGGAAGACACTAATCAAGGTGTCAGAAGCTGAAAAGCGCCTGGGAGCAGCAGAACGGGATTTCATTCACACTGCCTCCCTCAGCTTCCTCACACCCTTGCGCAATTTCCTGGAAGGGGACTGGAAAACTATCTCGGTGAGGAATCTGGGACCATGCCTCTGTACTCTGCACAGGCTGTCATCCTAGGCAGGGAGCCTGGACCTTTTCAGAGGTGGCTCCTGTAGGCTGAGTGCCCAAGAATGGCTGTCCGTTTCCAGGTCTCAGCTGGCCTCACTGTCCTTTTCATCCACCCTGCAGAAGGAGAGGCGACTCCTGCAGAACAGACGCCTTGACCTGGACGCCTGCAAAGCTCGGCTAAAGAAGGCCAAGGCAGCAGAAGCCAAAGCCACGGTAAGTGCCCTGGCCCTACCTTGCTCCCAGGCTCTGTTGGGGAGTCCAGGTACGGGGTCTGGAGAGACCTGTGTTTGGCATGCTCTTTCTCCTTGACTGGGGCTAGACTGTGCTGAGTGGTCAGGTCATGGTTTCTATCCCCACCTGAGGGAACCCTGGTGGCTGCAGGACAGACTTACAGTGCCTGTAACTGGGCTGGGTGCTGTCTAAGACATGAGATGGAATTCTTGCATGCCTTTCCTGCCTCTGTGGATGCTCAGCCTGGCCCTGCCTGGGCATGGCTTCCCTACTAACTCTCCGCCTGCTGCTTGAACATGGGGTACAAGGTGCCCTGTGCTTAGGCTCTCCTAGGCTGCAGGCTATGGAGAACACTAGAGCTGGCCAGCCCCCATATCTTATGGCAGGGACTGTGTGAGGAGGAGGCCTGGGCCATCCTGCTGCTCCTTCACACACAATCTACTGGGGCCTACCAGTACATGACAGAGCTGATTTGACAGGGCTAGGCCAGGAGAGTTGAATATGCAGGCTGCTCAAGGTTGTATGGGATCTAACAGCAACCTTAGGTCCTGAGAAGGAAACTCCTAGGCCCAGGCATGCTAGGGAAACTCCTCCATGCTTCTCAGCCTCTTGAGGAAAGGTGGGCCAGACCAGGCAAACCTACTGGACTCTCCACTGCCCAGAACTCTTGCTACCTTCATTGTTCTCCCTATTACATGGTCAGCATAGTCGTTGGGGCCTACACTGCCTCCAGTGAGAGCCACAGCAGGGTCCCAGGTCATCTGTGTGCATGGTACATATGTGAAGAGAATGACCTGAGGCTATTGGGATTACTTGTCAGTCACCTGGACAGAACAGAACAGCCCCACTCTCCTTGTTACTTATGTTTTTCCCTTGTCACTGAAGGGTAACTGCTTCTCCCCATGGGGCCCAGAGAGCCTTGGGCCTGTGAGTCAAGTTAGGTGTGAGTAGTGTCTCTACGGACTCAAGCCCAGTAGCTCACTCCTGGGCAACATATATGCTACCTAGGAGTCCTGAGGGTGGCTTGTGAGCATTCTTCCCGTCCTCCTAGGCCCGCCTCACGCTGGGCTGGCTGTGCCTGCTTTCCCCTGCTGTGATTTACTAACTCTCTGTTTTTGTTCCTTTCCATTCTGCTTTGGGTAACTTGGCTCAGTGTGAGGGAGATGTGAGTATACCTGTCCCATGTGCTGTGCTGCTTCAGTCCGCCTGTCCTGTCTGAGGGCCCAAGTGCTGTGGCCAGCCCAGGGCATCCCTCAGGCTTTTGCAATTGGCTGGCCTCCATTCGGAGTCTCTGGTTTGTGGAGATGCAGGCATTGAGGCCTGTGAGGCAGCTTCTTGCAAATGTCAAAAGTCTGTCACTGTCCATCGTGCATACATCTATCTACTCTGTGGGGAGGGATCTGGCTTCGATGGAGGAGCCAGAAACAGTGTGGTGAAGTTCTGCGTTGGAGAAAGCTATCGTGGGGAGGGCTGGGGGTCTCATGTGCCTGAACCTAGAAGAGGGGCAGGCCCAACCTGTAGCTTACTTGGGCTCCCAGTACATCTGCCCACTGGATCTTCATGTTGGACCCATTGAACCCCTAAGCCTGTCTCCTCTCCAGCTGGTTGGAGTGGTCACAGAGGTTCTGTGTTGTATCTGTTTGTGTCTTCCTGTCCCTGGGCCAGGGTTTCTTGCATCTCCTTATAGGAGACTCCGGGGCCACCTCCTGGCCTCAACACTGGCCCTGGCCCAGGGTGACCCCTCCCCCATGAACTCTGTTCCCCGCCAGACGGTGCCTGACTTTCAGGAGACTAGACCTCGTAATTACATTCTCTCGGCCAGCGCCTCCGCGGTAAGCACCCCTCCCACCATGCCCTGCCCCACCCTGGCCTCTTCTGCCCACAGCTCCTGCCACTGGCTCTACCAGTGCAGGACCAGAAGCCAGCAGGTGAGGGAAAGGGCACTGCTCATGTTGCAGGTTGCCCTGAGAGGCTGAGGGGCAGCTCAGAAAAGGGAAATGACAACTCCTCCTGTTCCAGTCTGACCCAACAGGCAGGCTGAGCTGGCTTTTCCTCATGTAAGGTGGAAGATGTTTTGCCCAGATGCACACAACCACTCCACGTCCTAAGGACACAGCACAATATACCTGAATTCTAAGCTCTCTTTCACAAAGGGACATCGCTCCAACCTCCTCATGGCTCTGGGTGGATCCTGGGGTAGGGAGGAGGCTGCCTGGGCCTGACTTCCTTGTCTCAGACTCCTAGACAGCTGTTTGCCATAGCTCCATAGTAGTTTGCAAGCTAGATGGCCTGGGAAGCTCCTGGAATGCAAGATGGAGGAAGGGAAGCTAGGCTGGGCAGTAGCCTGGCTGATATTGTGTGGGGGCTAGGCCAGCCACACACCTCCACTCTCTGTCCCCTGCACCAACCACCTGACTCTCCTGTTATGAGCATGCCACTGTGTGATTTGTGCTGTCTGTCATTCCATGGCTGCAACTGTCTTAAAGATGTCAACAGTAGTTTACACTCAGGACTGTTAGATAGCCCTCCAACATGGCATACAAAAATGTGCTGTCACTGTGGGCTGTGCACTGTGCTGGCCCAGTTCAACAGTCCACATAGTGTCAGGGTGTTATCCTAGGCCATATTTCCACAAGTGGCCATAAATTGGGTCTCCTAAGTCATGGTGGGGGGAGGGGGGTCTTTCTTCCCTAGACTCTGGATGACACTTCCCGTTCCCTTCCCTGGGCCGAGTGGAAGGAGAAACATCCCGGAGGGTGGAGGCTGCCCTGTTTTTTTCTTTTGCCACTGACCCCCAGTGTGACTCTGGCCCGAGGCTGCCTTTCTCTGCCGGAGGACAGAAAGGTTCAGTGACTGGCCCAGGGTCACTTGTCCTGTCCTGCCTCCGAGCAGGAGTCAGGGTGGGGTGGGAACATTTGGTCTCTAAGACCCACTTGAGAGTTGGGGACGGCTGTAGGAAAAGTATAAGCAAGACTCCCTAGCTGGCTGGCCCTGCATGCAGCATGCTAGGTGGGAGGTGGTGTCACCTTCCCTGCCCGCACACCAAACCTTGTTCCAGCCTCAGCTGCCTGGTTGGGCTGGGTTGTGCAGGACAGGGTGTGTAGAGAGGTTGGGTCCCTGGGAGCTGGGGCAGGTACAGGCTCTGGCACCTGGCTGTTCCTGCTCCTCCACTGACCAATGCCCACCTTCCCTTCCTTGCTGACTGGCACTGTTGTGGTCTCCACAGCTTTGGAACGACGAAGTAGACAAGGTGAGTTGGGGCGTAGGGAACTTGGGAGCCAAGGTTTAGAAGGCTAAAGATGGGGAACCAGACATAGCTGCTGCTGTAGATAAGGTATCTGTAGCTCTGGGTTCTGCCTTACATTCACGGGGATACTGGCCAGGGACACACCAAATGACCTTCTAGGCACGGTTGCTCCACACCATATTAGGTCCTGGAACAGATTCCTGGCAGGATTCCACCCTATCGGTTGGGGAGTGTCTATCACTGCAGCTATTCACAGGTCCCAAGTGGGCTCTGGCTTCTCTGGGGGTCAGTTATAGGTACAAAGCCAGGCATCCACGTTCCTAAGAGAGAAGTGGTATTGTTCCTAGCAGACCTTAGGGCGCAGGGAAGGCTGATGCAGGCTGGAGCTGCTCTCAGGACTGTCTGCCTCACCTAGGCTGAGCAAGAACTTCGAGTGGCCCAGACAGAGTTTGACCGGCAGGCAGAAGTGACTCGTCTCCTGCTGGAGGGGATCAGCAGTACCCATGTGAGTTGTACGTACATTCATGTCCTGCTGGGTCTTGCCGCAGGCAAGGCTATCAGACTGGGCGTCCCACTCCCACCCAGCAGTGCCTAGAGTATGGTCTGGAGCACACAGGATGATGACCTATGCTGAGGCCATGTTAGATGAAGACTCTTCCTTCCAGGTGAACCACCTTCGCTGCCTCCATGAGTTCATCAAGTCTCAGACAACCTACTATGCACAGTGCTACCGCCACATGCTGGATCTGCAGAAGCAGCTAGGCAGGTGTGGCTGGACCCAGGTCTCTGAGGCCCCCTATCTCCCAGACCCAGTGAGTGGCCCAAAGCTTTTGGCCAAGGGCCTTCTCTTCTGAGCTCAGAAAACCCCAAGATGTATGAGGTTAGACTGGAGGCTCTGCCTGGAACTCCACCTGGGAACCTTGTGTGGTGAGCCCTTAGGGACCAGAGTCCCCAGCGGACTACAGCAGTTTATAGTGTTTGGGCTGGGGAGGTGGGCAGGGACAAGCAGGTGGGACTATGTCAGCTTCCTTTGCTTTTCTTCTTTTGCTGCCAGTTCCCAGGGTGCCATGTAAGTTCTTGAGGGTGGGGCCTCCCTGTGTGTGAATGGATCCGTGTCTGGTGTTCCTTGTAGGGTATGTGGGACTCGCCCAGGTTAGCGCTGGCTGCTGAGACCACCTCATTTCTCTAGATTTCCAGGCACCTTTGTGGGCAGCACAGAGCCTGCCTCCCCACCCCTGAGCAGCACGTCACCCACCACCACTGCAGCCACCATGCCTGTTGTACCTACTGGGGCTAGCCTGGCTCCTCCAGAAGAGGCAGCACTCTGCCTGGAGGAGGTCGCTCCCCCAGCCAGCGGGACCCGTAAGGCCCGGGTGCTCTACGACTACGAGGCAGCTGATAGCAGTGAGCTGGCCCTGCTGGCTGATGAGGTAGGTCTAGGGTCCTGAGGGGGCAGGCAAAAGCTGCACGGGAACCACCAGGCAGGAGACCAGGAATGTTGGGTCTACACAACTCTGGTCATTGTCTTGGAATCCCTGGCCCCTGGTGAAGAGCTTCGAGAGTCAGGAGGGGAGGTGACTTCAGGTCTGAAAAAGCAGTCCTGAACTTCCATGGTCCAGTACGGCCCTGCAGTGACACCCCTCACAGGGAAGTAGCAGTTCTGCCCAGGCAAAGTCCTGGGCCAGTCCCATCCACGTCCAGAGCACAAGTTCCTTCTCTGCTCCTAACAGCTCATCACAGTCTACAGCCTGCCTGGCATGGATCCTGACTGGCTCATTGGTGAGAGAGGAAACAAGAAGGGGAAGGTTCCTGTCACCTACTTGGAACTTCTCAGCTAAGCAGCCCCCTCCTAGGCCCTACCATTTACCTTGTCTGCTGATGACAGAGCTGTTTAGGATAAGGGACCCAACCCAATTCTGGCTGTGCCCCTGTCATTCAGCTATTAAGGACCCCACAAGACAGAATGGCTCCAGGCCCCTCTGCTAGCCCTGCTTCTGGCCTGCATCCCTGCACTCCAGGCTTCCCAGCTCCCTTAAGGCAGGAGGGACACATGACACCATGGGCCCAGGATATCCTGGGAATGCTCTTGGCATGAAAAGAATATCTGCCTTCTGTGGAAGGTTGAGGGGGACAGGAGCAAACAGATAGGGCTAACAGTCTGGGATTAGACCATGTGGCAGGAGACCAGAGGGCCAGCCAGAGCAGCAGCGCTGACAGCAGCCCTCCCCACCTTCCCCCCTAGCTCTGGCTGGGCACAAGGGCTACAGCCATCATTCCCCCAGTTTCTAACTAGCGTTCTCACTTCTGCCTGTCTGCTTGCTCTCTGGCAAATAAATCCTACTTTGTGTGCAAATTGCCTGGGCTCTTGTCAGAGTCTCAGAGTGCATGGGCTGCCCTGAAAAGTGTGATGGTTAGACTTCACTGGTCTCCCTTCTTGGAGTAGGGTTTCCTGGAGCCGTGGCACAAGCTTCTCCCAGAGTACAGAGCAGAGGAAAAGTTTTTACAGCACCCTAATTCCCAGGAGTTTATACATGCAACTGCACAACACTTATGCCTAAGGAAAGCTTCCCTAAATTTGGACCTACTGAACTTCAGCAGCTTCCATGTGTTCTGTGTGTGTGAGTGCTTGTGCACTTAATCAGCCAACAGTTGTGAGCTCAGGCTGGCGCTGTGAGGGACAAGAGATCACCTACCTCTTCAAGGTAAGACAGTTTGTAGGTGGCAGGTTGGGGCCTCACAACAGGAAGAGCTATAAACTGAAGCTGTACGTCGTACAAGCGGTAACTGAGATATAGACTCTCCCTTGCTTTCCTGTCCTGACACTCTACTCAGGACTAAATGGATAGTCACTGCTAAGTCAGCCATCAACAGGAATCCTGCTATCTCTGGACCACCCACCCCCAACCCCCTCACATCTGGGTCTTCTGAGAGCTGTCACATGACCCACGCTCTGAAGGCCCAGTCTATAAACAGCACTTTAATATTTGTATAAATAGACCACAGTATTACCAAAAAAAAAAAAAAAAACTGCAAGAACAGATTATGGAAAATCCTCACTGCACACAGGTCTCTCCTGTGCTGCCAGCACCCAGGCCCTCCCTGGCTGGTGACACACGGTGGGAATGCTGAAAGGGGCCACCTTGGGGTATTGTGCAGAATGTGAGCACCCAGACCTTTGGCTCCCTGCCCATGCTGTTGACCTCTTGAGCTATTAAAAAAATAATGTCAGCGGGTGGGCAGGAAGAGGAAGGGAGCTGTTTGCTCAGTGGCTGGCTCTGTGGTGGCAGCGCCCTCTGCCCAGGCTGCAATGCAGGTTGGTAGGGAGCATCAAGTAGATAGCACTCCATTGCCCTATCTCTGCACGTGCCGGACAAAGGCTTGCACAAGTTGAATCAGAGGCTCCTGAGACTCTGGGCTGGCTTTGGAGAGAGAGGTGGCCTTGCCCTGCGGTGAGGGCAGGACTCCAGCAGCAGGGGAGCTGGGGGCTCCCCTTCTGAAGTATCGCGAGAGGCTGGAAAGCAACGTGCTCTGCAAGAAAAGCAGCAGCTTAATGAAATCCAGGACCATTGTTCCTGACCCCAAAGGACAAACCAGGCAGCACCTGAATAGCCTCCCTGCTGGCTAGCCCACCATCCATACCAGCTCTGAGCTCAGCTCCTGCTTTATCCGCTGCTTGTCCCGGGGGTGCACAGCTGGGTCCCTGAGGTAGCGTACTGCTTGGGAGATGAGCAGATAGAAGCAGTTCTCCATGGTGAACATCAGGAGGGACCTGGAGGCAGGCGTGGGCAATGCTGCAAAGGGTGCCTGACCAACAGCTGAGCCACAGCCTGGAAAACGGCAGCCCACAAGTGCCCCAGGCCCTCAAGACTCAGGTCTTACTTTAATGTTCGGGTCCCTTCTGCTTGTGTGCTGAGTCCCACCGCCTGGGTGAGGGTTTCCTTTTTCTTGTCCAGCTAGAGGAACAGAAGCAAGCAATCAAAACTCAAACTAACAACAGCAGTGGCCAGGTAGATGGCTTCTACTTGGCGGTCTTGCATTCCAGTTTCCCTGGTGCCTCAAAGGGAACTCCTAGCATGGCACTGTAGGAAGAGGCCTAGGCTCCGGGGGCTGGATATGTCCCATATTACAAGTGCAGACCAAGTGGAAAGTTCTATGTGGGGGCATACCTCGCCAGACATACCTCTCCAAGCATATTGAGGGCCACGTTCACTGTGGCCAAGAGGGTTCCAAAAGATGGGGCCACTTCAGAATCAAAAGTGGGAGTGGTAAAACTTAGGGCAAATAGGAAGTTGTATTCGGCAAGATCCAGGGACTGAAAGACACAAAATAGTAGTCTGGAACTTGCTGGGATCTCTCCAGAGCACAGCACAGTGTACTGCAGAGCACAGGTTCAAGGCTGGTGGTTGGGAACCTGGTATTTGTTATGAGGTGGCAGCTAGTACCTGGTCCAGCAGGATCTGGCAGACATCTGGAGTGAAGTGGCGCAGGGCTGCAAGGGTCCTGCTGAGAATCTTTAGAAGGCCATACTGGACTGTGTGTAAAGCTCGCTGTTCTGAGGCCTCAGTGTCGGCGGGAGGCTGCTTGGAGGAGCAGCCAGATGGGGTAGCAAGAACTGTGGTGGTAGTAGCGGTGGATGGCCGCTGAACTCGAGGAGTGACAGCCGAAGGAAGGCCATCCCCATTTTTGTTCTGAGTAGAGTCAAAAAATGAAAGTTAAGTCACGAGAGATCAAGGGTGGCACTGCCAGCAGTGATGGCCTTAAGGGGCCTTGGTTACCTGTAGGTAGTGCTGCAGCATCTTTCGACTGTGTAGGAGGGAGGTACAGGCCTGGCACAAGTAACCTAGGTTCACCTGGGACACAGGGACAGGAAAAACTCATGGAGGCAACCCCACAAAGAGGTCTCTCTCTCTCCAGGCACCAGCATGCCCGCCTCTCACTAAGTATCTAACTCAACAGCCACCAGCAAGGCTCAAGGCCTGGAATGTTTCCACTGCATTTCTGGCATATTTCACAGTCCTCACATACCAAAAAAATGAGGGTTACTATTTCCACTGCAGAACAGAGGTGATGTGATCTGGCCAAGGTCATAGGGACAGTAGCCATGGCAACAGCCTACTGCCTCCAAAGCTTCAGGCCTCCTCCTGAGGATTTTGAACCTCAGTCTACCTCATAGAGCCCGAGTTCATAACCCACCCAGCCTCACTTCACTGTGAAGGGGAAAACTAGCCTAAGAAAACAGCCTGAGTCAAACTTGTGTCCTCAGCAAGCCCACATTCAGAAGCATTTCCCAGTTCATCAAGGCTATCCACTCACTCCCTGTCCCTCATCAACCCAGACCCTCCAAAAAGCAGTGTTGGAGGCCCACCTGAACATCACGCATGAGTTGAGGCAGATGGAAGTGCCACTCTTTCCTGAAGTGGGAGAGTTGTAGGATGAAGCCCACAGTGTGGTCTGCCTCCTCCAGGCAGGCTAGACTCTGTACTGTCCTCACTGCATTCAGACACTGAGGAAGGGACAGCAGAGAATGCTTAGGACCTGGCACTTGTCCTATACCTATACTAAACCTACGGAGACCAGGTCCTAGGCCCACAGCTGCTGAGGTGGCTGACATTACAATGAAGGCTTCCCCTTAGGTTTCTCCTGAGTCCTACAGCCACCTGCCAAGTGGTATAGGACCAGGCCACCCCTTCTGTGAGGCAGGCAGCCCCTCACCTGCAAGGTCCGCTCCTGATGGACGCCCACAAAGTCTAGCGCCTCAGTCAGGAAATTATAGCGTAGAGTCTTGAGCAACCGCTCCATCAAGGACATGGACAGGCGGTAGACCCCTGGCCAGGACGGGGCATCCAGGGATTTTCGAGAGGTACTGGGTGTCTATGACAAATGGCAGACAGGTTCAGGATTGATGGCACAAGAACCCACTCTGAGCAGCAGAGCCTCTTTGTGGCTCAGTTGCTGGAAAGAAAAAAATCTCTTCGAGTGGACGGTTACCACTAGCATGAACAGAGCTAGAAGGGGAAAGGCTACCAGATTTAGCCAGAGCAGAAGGTTCCAAACCCAGGTCAGTTACTAACAAGGTATGTCAGCTTGACCATATATCCCTGTCCTACTCTGGCCCTCAAGATGTTCCCTCTATATTCAGGGAGGCTGGCCTAGATGAGGAAGACTTAACAGGCATAACAATTCCAACAGGAGGTGCTGGGAAGATGATTCCAGGCCAGGAAACACTTGCTGGCCAGCCAGAGATCCCTGAGGACTTGAAGGAAAAGGGGACACGACAGACTGCAAGTACAAACTGCCTGTGAAGTGATGACAACTGCCCAGGCTAATAACCCGGTCCTGGTGATATTTGTATTGTGTGGGGGTAGAGGCAAGATCCTGGGCACTCACCTGTCCTGTGCCATTGCTGCTGAGCTGGTATACACTCAAGAGGGGCAAACAGATGCTCTGGGTGATGCCAGCTCCAGCCACTGCTGTGGCTCCCTAGAGGTAAGACCCAAAATTAGATGGGAGTCTGAAAAGACTTCCAAGGACAGAAAAGGACTGAGTCAGACTCTGGCTTCAGAGAGCATGGGAACCATTCAGTACGAGCAGGGTCTCTTTTCCACCCTAAGCAGTCTCCTACCTGCTGGGTGCGAGCCAGGGTGAGAAGCAGGTGCAACGCAGCCTCAGTAAAATGCAGGTTCTGCTTCATGCGGAGGCTCACCTCCATGGTGGTGAGGAGGGTGGGCAGAATGGGGAGCCTTCGGGTCACTTGCAGCCATGAGTCCCCATCCTCATCTACCTCGCAAAGCTCCTTAGCCAGGTGCAGTCCCAGGACACATACCTGCTGGTAGCCAAGGGAGACAGATGAAGGTGGAAGAAAGCAGCTGAGGGAAGGCAGAGGAAGAACGTTGGCTGTAAGCCTCGCTGTCCAATGCTCCTCTCAGGAGTGTGCCTAATGCCTCTCCTGCTTCTTGCCCTGCTCATCTCCTGTGCCCATTTCCCCAGAAATGGCAAGTCCACCCAACACTACCAGTGAAAGTCTGAGTGGTCTAACTTCTTGCTGACCACAGCATTTACCTTCATCTCCAACCACAGGTTCTATCCAAACAACAGTGCTTTACAACCCTTTGTTCGCTGTTTTTTTTAAAGACAAGATCTCTCTGTAGCTCTGGCTGCCCTGGAACTCACTCTGTAGACCAGGCTAGCCTCAAACTCAGAGATCCACTCTGCCTCCAGAGTGCTGGAATTAAAGGTGTGTGTTACTACCACCTTTTACACATTCATTTAAAAAATGTTTATTATATGAGATTTTCATATAATGTATTTTGATCATATTTAGCCCGCAACTTCTCTCAGATCCACCTCTACCTC